TGAGAAACGGCTGCTTTTCTCTACAAAGAGAAGGTCCAAGCAATATCCGTGGTCTTTGTTCGCATGATGACTTCCTATGCTTGCAATCTTCTGGCTCTTGCTGTGAAGCATTGTGAGCGATGGGAAGTAATACCAGCCAGCCTGTGTGTTATGCAGACCGTACGGTTTTCTCAGCGCCGAGACACCAGCCACCAAACCAGCCCACAGTCCGCCAAAAGAGCACACTGAGCACAGTGAATGCTCATGCGGTCTCCTATATGAATGTAGGTGATGATGTCGCCGTCGCTCTGCACGGCCAGATTCGTACTGTTTTTGCGTAGATCTCAGACATAAATATCACCCCCACCTTTTTCTTTTATGACTCCCTCCTCTCTTCTCATCATCACTTTCATCATCACCTTTATCCTATCAAAGACCTTGCAATCGCCCGATTTCTCCAAATTCAGCTCCTGCTCCTGGCAATACATCGGCTTTCATCAGCATCAAGCAACCACGATGCCTGATAAAGACGGTCCCAAAAGGGGCGGCAGGATTGCCCTGCTCCAGGACCCTTTCGCTGTGTTCCCGGCTGAGATCATCCTCATGATGATACTCGCTCTGTGGACCTTCGAGGACGTCATCCAGCTCAGCCTGACATCCCACCGTTTCCACGCCATAGTCCACCACAACATTGCCTACATTTTCCGGAAATTGGCTCCCAAGATTCTCGGCTCGGTGCATCTCCCGCTGCAGCTCTTAGCTGATCAAGAGGGCAACGCCGAACTCACAGACGCGAACAAGCTCAACCCAGGGATCCTAATGAGATTGCTGCACAACGCACAAACACTCGCCATCAGGACACTTGGATATCAGCCGAGTCCAAACTTCGATCGCATCTGGGTCCTTTTAGGCAGTAGTAAGTTTTCTTCGTCCTTCCTTCGCCGAGGCATGAGCCGAGACCCAACCCTTCCACTGACCAGATGCTAACCACAACTCACTCACTACCCCTCTAGTCCCCACACTGATGAACCCCATTATCCCCGACCTCACGGCCCTCGTAAACTACCTCCTCAGCCAAGTCCTCGGCGTGAACAACACCCACCCGCTCATCACAAGCTTCCTGACCCAAGACCCCGCCCACATCAGCGCGGCCCTGACCCAACACGTCGCCACCCGAGCCTTCCAGCCCGAAGGCTACGGCCTTGCCAACCGGTCCCCGGAAACCCGCCGTCTCGTGCGCGCCCTCTACCAGGCCTGGAGCCTGAGCCTCCTCGGCCGGCCCGCCGCCGTTCTCCGCTACCACACCATGACCCTGAAGGATCTGTTCCTGGTCAGCGAGGTCTTCGCCGCCTTCCGGGAGCCCCTCGCCCAGCTCCTGTCCGCGAGGGTCGGGGATGGCCCGCGGCCGACGGACACCCAGCGCGTCGACGCGGCCCTGAGCGACGTGACCTTTGCCACCATGGAGCGGTTCGAGTTCGTGCACCGCGAGATGCTCCGCCGGCGGGAGGCGGCCAAGCCGGGGTTCCGCGATGTGCTGCAGACGCAGCTGGACGGGCTGCGCGAGCTGTGGAAGACCGAGAATCAGGACACGTTTCGTGCGGTGGTCACCCAGGATCAGTACTGGGCCGGCCAGGGGATTATGAATCCAGCATCTGGGGAAGGGGTGTGGGAGGGTGAGAATGATGATGATGATGATGATGATGATGATGAGTGATCACGCCTCTTGTCTTTTGGGGGAGGGTGGAGGAGGGAGACTAAAGGGGTTTATGGTTTATGGGGGGTGCTTAGGGGTGCTTAGGGATGTTGGTTCGGCTATTGCTGTTCAGGGAAGGTTGGATTGCTTGCAGGATATTGCTTCTTCGCTTTGACTTTAACTTTTTTTTTCCCTCTTGCTCTTCCTTTTGATTTAATTTGACCTTATGTCTCATGTCCCTAATTTTGATTTGATGTTGGTTTGGTTTACTTGTGCATACAAGATTGTCAGTACTCTACAGTACTGGCACTAGTTATTTGCTTAGCTAAGAATGCGGCCATCTGCCCCAAAATCTTGCTCCAATCCGTCTGGAGTACTCAGTAGATACGTCCACAGAACAAGACACAAACAGACACCGCGGCGAAAGAATAAGGTAATCACCGGAACCGTGGATTCGTCATCGCCAACCTTGGCCCAGCACTAGTTCTGGGCGGGTATACGTAACTCCCGCCCCACCCGTTAGTTGTTGTGCCCTAAAGTGGCGGACAGGAACAAAAACACAGGTCAAGATCTTTGTTTGTATCAAACGGGGGCAGGGGGGAAGTGACAAGTCAAGATATCTCCTATGACAGGTGTATAGCTGCTGCAATCTAGCACCTATAAACAGGTGAACCATCAGCAGTCGATCAGGCACATCATCTCTCCTACTGAAACCAGCACACGTGGTGCTGATCGATCGCGACGGAAAGGAAAGGAGTTGCACGGCTAGCCCGCGCTAACAAGGCTTAGCCCTCACTGTTCAGAAAATTTTTATGTGTTTGCCTGGTGGGAACTTTGAACATCGGTCAAAGTCAACCAGCAAATCAACCTGCAATAACAATTCATAGTACGAGTTCAAACAACCAGCTGCACTGCGGAGTACAGTACACAAACCTCTGCGATCCGTCGTTCGGAAATGACCCACTCCGATGGACTGCGCTAGCCCTCCGTCTAGAACCCAGAGTTTGCCTTAGGAATGTCACCATTCGCCCGAGCAACCTGCCTTCGCTCCTTAGATCCTCATCGAGGGGCCACGCACAACTTTAGACACATGGCTTGGAAAAATGTCCGCGTCTCTGGTCGGACCAGTGGGAGGGCTGAGGTGACCAGTGACGACGCAAGGGGGGGCCGTCGCGGGCTTACGTAGGGAATGCATGGCATGCCAATGACCAGGCCTGTGTACCTGAGAAACCGAACAGTAGGAAAGAGTCTGTTTGTGGAGTCCCACACTGACAACCAAAACACTCCTCTGCAGGAATGTCAGCCAACAGCAGCGATGGATTATAATCTGTTCTGTTCCGGCCCCAGAGCAACTGGGGGGTGGGGAGAGAAGAAATTGGTGGCCCTCCGTTTCACTGCCCTAAACGGGGAACTATTGATTCGACAACCTCCTTTAGTCGCCAGCTGGTCTGGATCGCGCCATTCGACAACGGGCCTTCTCGAGGCGATGTGACTGATCAGGGCCCAATGCTGACGATTCTCGAGTCTTGTCCTGTCTCCACTCGGCGCTGTCTTGCGTCGTCCACCGTCGGTTGGCTATCCGCTTTGACGCCCGTGTGAACTGGGGTGGCGGCGGGTTAATCTATATACTGGGACTGGGGACCACTCTGTTGGCTCTGATCTTCTTTCTTCTTCAAGCATCATCCAGTCGTTCCTTTGATCGTGCCCTCCTGGTTCAAGTCAGCCAGGGTTATAGCAGTCGTGCGCAGAGCATACGTCCAACACTCTCCTTCAGTCGAACCGATCGATACACAGCTACCTTTCCGATCCATTTGTTGATCAGCCAACCACGCCCACCATGCAGTGGAAGTCACTCCTTCTTTACGGCGCCATCGCCGAATCGGCCCTAGCTCGCACCCACGGTCACCAGCGCCGTCACCCCCACGGCCACGGCCATGCCGAACGTGCCCCGGAGGCACACCTGGCTGCCCGTGAAGTGGTCGTGGAGACTGTGGTCAACTACCACACCATCACGCTCACCAGCACTGTCACTGGTGTAGCACCCACCGTCACTACCCACGAGGAAGCCGCCACCACCTCCGCCAGCGACGCCGCCGCTTTCGTCGAACTCGACCTCAACGAGGATCTCGCCATCAGCGCCAGCCTGAGCCTTGGCCTCTCCATCGGTGGCTCCGAAGCCACCACCACCACCTTCAGCACCAGCACCCACACCAAGACCCATGCTCACACCACTACCACTACCACCTCCTCCGCCGTTGCAGCCAGCAGCAGCGCCGCCGGCGTCAGCTCAGCGTGGTACACCTACCCGACCAGCGGGGTCTATTCGACCAGCGGGTTCGGGGAACGCAGCAACACGACGAGCAGCAGCGGCGACACCTACGTGGGCAACGTGGGCGTGCCGTGGGGCAGCAACATCATCGAGGTCAGCGCCAGCGAGGCGTGGCAGTACAAGTACGTGGTGCAGTTCACGGGGCAGAACAGCGCGGACTGGTTCGTGAGCATCTGGAACAAGATCGGGCCCGACGGGGCGGACGACGGGTTTTTCGGCCACTCGGCCCTGAACTTCACGCTGTCCTCGGGCGAGACGCGCTACGTCGCCTTCGACGAGAACTCGCAGGGCGGCTGGGGCGCCGCCGAGGGCGACAGCCTCCCCACCAACGACTACGGCGAGTACTCGTGCACCTGGGGCGAGTTCGACTTCGGCGACGAGGAGAACGACAGCTGGTCCGGCTGGGACGTCAGTGCCATCGTCGCCGAGGAGGCCGACCAGACCATCCAGGGCATGAAGCTCTGCCGCCACGGCACCACCACCGGCTGCTCGTACATCACCTCCGGCGGCGATACCGTCGAGAACGCCTACACCCCCTCCGAGAGCTCCGTCGGTGGCATCGGTGGCTCTGTCACTGCTGGCCCGCTGCGTCTCGCGGCTGTGATTGATTACTCTGGGTGAATGTCACCCGATCAGGTCTGTGGGTGAGGTGTATATACACGCGTTCGATCGTATCTTCTCGGTACATATTCGCTACCGATGTCAATACTTATCACGTATATACGTCTGGAACTAAAACACTAGTTCTTGAGTGTCGTGGTGGTTTTGTTATTTTATTGTTGATACCTTTTCTTCTGCCCCTAAGGCAGGCTGCTACTTATCTTTTTCAATATACCATATCTGTGTTCAATGTTGTTGTTCCAGTCTCCAGTCAAAACAGTAGGCTTGGCTGCTGATCCTCGGCTGGGAGATCCGTCGGTGATTGCCGGCTCCACGCGGCTTGCCTCGGCTGTGCCTATTTAAAAGACTTTTTCAAGTGGATGAAACTCAGACGTGTCCATGTGGCTGGGTGCGAAGCAGTTGGGATTCGCCATGTTGATACGTAGTAAGTTATTCGTAGCTCCATGCTAGGCTCCCTGGCGTACATGCTGCGGGCCACTCTTTAGTACGGTCGCATTTGCCGATTTTGTGGACTTGCAACGCGTCCGATCGATTGCACCAAGTCTAGATCATACCGGATTGGAATTCGAGGATATTAAGCAAGAATGCAACCGCTTTCGCTGGCAGCTGTGCTGAACAGATGCAGATGAAGCGCGAGTGGGGAGGAGAATCAACACACCACGTGACTCGCTCCCAGCCGATGTTGAATTAGTCAGCGGCAACCAGTCCCCACCGCATCTCCACCAAATGAAAAGCCGCGCTGCCTCACCATTGACGATCCACCGCCAACTTCACGCCTCGTTGCCCTCATACCTTCTTTCGGAAATCGACGCAAATCGACGCGCCTAGACCCTCGCCGCCGTCACCGTCGTGCCGTTGATGCGAGGTCAATGGGTTGTGCAGTGCGCACGACGCGGCTTCGGAGCACCCGCGATAACGGCGACTCGCCGAGCCGCAACATCATGTCCACCATGTTACCCATCTGGAGCATCTAGAGCAACCATCCACATCTCGAAACCTCCTCCCAGAATTAATCACCGGCCTACCAAACAGCCCATTCAACCATTCAACCCAGCTTCCAAACGCACCCTCTTCACCACCACCCTCCCTCCCATCCTCATCCCCCCCACCATCTTCCTCGGCCTCCTCCTCGGCCTCTGGACCTGGAAATGCTTCTGGATCGTCCTCCTGCAAGATAAACTCCTCTATCTCTCCTGGCTCCCACCGCTCTCCCGCTCCGAGACCATCGCCGCCTACGAACCCGAATGCCGTCCCGTACAATGGACCACGCAGCAGATCCGCAGCCTGGACGGCACGAAACTCACCGTCTGCGAGGGCCGTCTCCCCCGCCGACAACAGCCCCCGAAAAAGACAGTAGTCATCTGCTACTTCCAGGGTAACGGCGGCTCCACCCCGCTGCGCTTGCCGCTTCTCTCGCAGACCCTGCGGGCGCTGTCCAACGCCCCGCCTGCTTCTGGATTCCCAGAACCAGAACCAGAGGTCGAGTACATCATCACCGCCCTCTCCTACCGCGGCTACTGGACCTCGTCCGGCCGCGCCTCGCAGAGGGGGATCGAGCGCGACGCCCAAGCGTTCCTGGCGTGGGTGATGCAGACCTACACGGCACCGGACCGAGAGGTCCGCGTGGTCCTGTGGGGTCACAGTCTGGGCTCGGCGGTTGCGACCACCGCGCTGGCGACGTATCTTAGCAATGGAGGTGCGGTGGCCTCCATGACTAAGAAGCCCAGTCCTGCTGACGCTGAGGTCGCAGCAGCTCAAACTTCATCCGCCCCCATCACAGGCTTGATCATGGAGGCGCCCTCCTCCAGCGTCAAGGAGATGCTTATCAGCCTGTATCCACAGAAGTGGCTGCCGTATCGGTATCTGTGGCCCTTCCTGTGGAACCACTGGGACAGTGTGCTCGCGTTGCGGCGGATGGTGGCGTGGCGCGATGGGGTTGCTGTTTCTGAGGATGGCGAAGATGGAGATGCGTCTGACAGGATCGAGACGACTCGGGATACTGAGACAGCAACCTTGACTCAGCAAGGGAGGAGAGTGTTACCGCCCATTCTGCTGCTCACTGCTGCGAACGATGAGGTGATTCCTCCGGAGGCGGCGGGGCAGTTGGAGGCGGAGGCCAGGAGGTTGGGGATTGAGATGGTGAGGACGGATGTGCCCGGGGCGATGCATACCGAGGCACCGGTGCGACCGGCGGGGAGGAAGGCGTTGGTGGAATTTATCCGGGCGAGGAGTTGAGGGTGTCGTGCACGCTCTCCAATCTGTAGAGCATCCGAGACGAAGGAATCGGCACTGTGACGTTACTCATTACAATCTGGTCCTCACGGCTCAGTGCCCAGGGTTACAATAAACACATTTACAAATAACACTGTATTCAGTGTGATAGCCAGGCAAGGTATGACGGTCAAATGGGATCAAAGAGATTATCAAATTGCGTCAACGAAACAGAGGCAAAGAAGCGTAAGACCAAGTAAAGTTACTGTTTAGCGGAGAAAATGTGGGTTCTCCACTAGAACAAGGGTAGTGACTTCACTCAGATCCGAGGCATCGATGATACGAACAATTCTAAAATCCTCAGAAAAGACAACATGGTATAGATGACCGCGATATTCTGGAGAAGAGATTTAGACCGGGCTATCAGGATGAGGGCTTCAAAGGATATTACCTGCATAGCTTTTCTGCGGCATCTTGCGAGTGAAATTCAGAACAACATAATCCTGTATCAGCTTGCGGTTCAGCATCGTAAAATACTGACCATCTTTCTTGAACCGTTGCATATGCTGTCTGACACGGTTGCTATTTCGTAGTAATTCCAGCCCCCACCGCTTCTGCTCTATCAGAAAATCGATTCTTCCGCTCCTAACCCCTGATTTGATAAGGTATTCTGGAGCCATTTTGATCTGGTATTCGAGCAGCAGTGGGAATAGGCAGCGGTAGAATTCCTTCTGGTACTGGTCTTCAATAGGGATGGGATCACCCTCCAGTGTGCGTAGACGACTTGATAGCTGACATGGGTCAAATTTGCGGATAGCATCGATAGCCATCTCAAGAGGCGACGAATAGATCAATTCTTTCTCTGAGTTTACCTGAGAGAAAAGACACTGGCAATACCTGAGATAGTGTATCAGCACGTAGAACATCAAATCGAAAATCGATCAGTAACTTTACCATCGATGGATCTGGCTGGGAAACACATAAAGTGTATCTCTCTGGACCGTCTCCGCATGAAGCCATCCTTGTTTCCAGATATCTTCAAGGGCCCTCTGTTGATCTGGGTTCTTGAGATAACTCGACTGGAGAGTCCCGTTGTGAGCCACGGCGTTCTTGAAGACACTAGCGAAGGCGTGTTGTTGCAGGTATTCTTGTCTAGGAAGGCCGCGAGCAAATGGGAGATACTGAATGATTTGGAACAGTCGTTGGTCATCGCGGAACAGACTATGGCTTGCTGTCACCCAGTCGAGCGGTTGGCATTTCTGGATCAAGGCATAAAGCTCCTATTGGCAAAGTAGCAACAAGTTAGTCGGTCTTTCAGGTCTTCTCCACTCACGCATATGGCCTACCGGTACTTGCTCCAGGGCATCCACGAGGGATACAAGCAGCCCCGCATGGCCACCACTGGCCAGATATAATCCACGCTTCAATCCTTCTGTGAGAATGTCGGCACCATTCGATATGTTGCTTGGCACGTATTGGTCCAGAACATTGTACGCTTCGTTCTCACTGAGCAGCAAGCCAACTTGCTTCCGCCCCGGGTGGTGATAAATCCCTTCTTCCGGTCTCAGCGATACCTGCTGATGGAGTTGGAAATTGATAGGCGTCGGAGTAGGGAGCGTCTGGCCCCCGCCGCCATGGGTCATCCCTGCGCCGTAGCATGTGAAAAGAACAAAATGCACGGAGACTGTCTTCTCAATCGACTTAAAGAGTTGAGCCCATAAGTCCGTATCCCAATATGACTCTTGCGCCTCGTCAAAAAGGATGAAACATGGATATGCTTCAAGTTCATCACCACGCACGTTGAGTTGCTTCTCGAAATAGCGTATCCAGCCCCCTGCAGCCGAAACCTGTCTCTCCGGCCAACCTGATAGAACATACAACGGAGTATCGGGATATCGTTCGAGTAACTCATTGGCCAACAGCTTCATTGTTGTCGTTTTCCCGGAGGCAGGGGTCCCGTTGACTCGGATCAGGTGGTAGCGTTCTAGACGGCGGATCAATTCGTTTATCAGATCATGTCGTGGGCTTACATAAGGCTTGATCACTGGAAAAGGTCAAACAGAATTCTGCCGTCATGGTCTGAGATAGGGAGTCCCTTACTGAGAGGCTTGGTTTTCCGAGCAGAAAGGATACCGGCGCCAGAAGAACTGGGGGCACCTGGAACATATCAGTCAGAGCAGATATCAAGCATCGAAAGCTACTGACCATAGCTGTTATGTTCGCTGAGAGGATGTGAGCATCTGGTACACTTTGTTTCGCACCAGTGATCCGAATTGGATACACTTTCTCCGGAGGTACACTCGCAACCTCTTACCCCACAGGGCCCCATAATAAGAAGTAATGTTTTGGTCTCAGCCGAAACCGAAGCGGAGGTGGTTGAGTCAGAAAGTTTAGATGAGTTCGCCATGATTGAAGTCCTTTGCTAGCAGGACCGCACTTAAATCAAATCTCTGATCCTTGCCTAGTTTTCTATGCAGATAGCCGACATTGAAAATAAACGAGAAGGGGGGGGGTTGATGTTAAACGCAAGGAGATGGCGCGCAATAAGAAGTTGAGCCTGGGTTAGGAGGGGCGTGAAAGATGATAAAGCTAGTATTCTACACATTAAGTAGTGGGCATGTTACAATTGAGTGATCTTCTTTGTTGATAAAAGCGGGGGTGGGCAGTATCTGTCTTAGAGACAGGCTTCATAAGTAGGTATCCTAGGTTGTGGTACTCTTTGTCAAGCCCTACCAGCCAATAAGAAGGTCCTGAGGCTCGAAGACCTCAAAGCCACAAGTTATGGATCTGATCGATTGCTGCCCCTCCTCTAGTGTAAACCCCCCCTCTCTTTGCAGCTGTTTGCTTTAATACCTAGGTACACAAGTGACAGTCTCTTTGTTTAGCCAGTCCGATGACATGACTGCTAACGTTATTCCAAATATCGATAGCTTCTAGCTCTACTGCCTACTAGAGCTGGCAAGGGCTATGACTCAACCACGTGTGCATTAGTTTCCTACATATAAGAGCCAATTCAGTCAAGAAGTGGTCTTTATTACTCCCCGATCGAGCTGGAAACTCATAGTATATTTGATACAAATGTATTGTTCATATAACATTGAGATTCCGCTGATAGTACGGAGTAGTGGTTAAGGAGACGGTGAAAAGGCAAAGTGGCGAAGGCGAAACGGAGTACGGAAGACGGAGCGCGCCAGCAAGTTTGCTTCGTTTGCATATTTGCTAGGTTTGTTTGGAGCCGCCGGGGCGTGAGGGGTTTCGGCTTGTGATTGGATCACACCACCTCAGCTGAATTCTTGCCCTGTGGACACCAGACCCACTTACTGTAGTGACATCCGAATACTATGGGAGCGAACCATCAGCTGGTCTTTTCTTCACTCACAGAACACTGTCTATCGCCCTTTACATCTAGACTCCCCATGCCTTACCAATTATCCTGATAAGCACGCAGACATCCACCTACCAGCTTCCCAGCCCCAAAAATCAAAACAGCCCAACCTGCCCCAGAAGCCCCGCAAGCACCACCGGCAATACCAGACCCCACAGCCTATGCATAGCCCACAGCAGTCCCAGCACCGTTAATGCGCACGCTGACGGCTGCCAGAATCATCTCCGGCTCATACGGCGCAGGCGTCCGACTATCCGTCGTACCATTCCAGCAGTACCGGTGTAAGCACTGCCCACACACCTCGGGCACGGAGGTATTGGTGCGCAGCAGCGCGCGGTGCAGCGCGGCGCACCCGACGCAGGTCGGCCAGTCGGCTTCCTGACTGTGTCCTAAATTGTGGCAAGGGAGCAGAATCTGCCTGCTTACCAGAATTCCGTGATGGTGGTCGGATAGCCCGCATCACTATTCTGTGCCATGTTTCTGGCATAGGACAAAAGTGCTCCTCCATCGTCGGGACCTTCGAGCATGGAATTCAGAGACTCCCAGGGAGTCCTTAAATTGTCCGTCTGCAGCGACGAAACGGAGGTGAGATTGTTGAGGTAGAGGGAGCCCAACAGCCACCCGCCACCACTCAGACCCGACAGGGATGTGGCCGACTGCAGCAAGTCGCCCAATTAACCGGTGGCAGTGGCATTCACGGTGCGGCTATCAAAGGCCTTGAGGGCTCCGGCTCCGTTCATCAACGCACGATACCCTCCACCGGACACGGCGATATCGACGTTGGGTGGGCTGGCCACCCGTTCGAGATAGGATACGGCATCAAAATCCTTCACGTGCACATGGCCGGAGAAGTCCTTCATGGCTGCGAGTGTCTTCTGTCGGCGCAACTTGGGCTAATTGAGCTCGCTCGGTGACAGAGTCGCGGCATTGCGAACACTGGGCCGGGGATTCGGGCACTCGACCTCGGTTGGAGCATATCCGTTGGGGCATTAGGAATCGCGCGAGGAATGAGCATTTCTGGTTCCGGGCTGTTCATAGTGACATCTATGCCTGGATCTAATTTTCAAATTGTTAGATGAACTTCCTCACAAAGCAATTCTTTGGTTCAAGGAATGGCAGACCCACGAGACGCTTGGATAGCAACGGCTAAGCCGATGAGGAAGGAAAGAGACCTCATGGCCCCAGGTATTCGTTCTTTGTAGCTAGATAGCGGCGTCTAAAAGTGTATTGAAAAAACAACAAGAATGATAAGAACCGAGCTCATATTAGTCGATGCATGAGATGTGCAGGGTCAGGATTGTAGCAGGTTGGGATCTTTTATATAGTCAATGGGTGAAACCGCACAATGCTATCGGGCTTGGTATGGATCCATCACAGCCTTGGTATTGGTGTCTTGGTTGAAATGAAAAGGGATGTTTATTAATGAGGCAACATGGCGCCAGGGTCTGACTCGGGAGATTACCAGGTTTCAGCCAATCTAGGCACCAGATTCGGGGCTCGGGGGTTCAACATAGAGCGAGTCACGGGTCCGAACCTTGACCATTAAGTAGAACTAGAGTCTGTGAGAACTTTCCCGGCTGCTGAGAATGATAGCTGGGTGATGGCTTACTCGTGGTGGTTTTGACCCTGTTATGACCGACATAAAGGGGCATTACAATTTAATTTGGTGCCAGGATCTGATTTGGGCTTTACATTATGTCTACCGAGTATATGCACTCATCTTCAGCCAAAAGATCTAACTGTATCACTAAACAAACGATTCTTTACTACTTCAAATTAGTGAAGTGAAAGAGAAGAAATGTTACTAATTATGATTTTCAATTGTGAAAATTTTGAGTGCTCAACATTTGATGTTCGATCAGGCTGTACACAACTAGTCAATTTCCGCATCCATGTGTTATGGGATAGGTTGAATAGATGAAGAGGGTTCCTCGAGTTATGAATAATGGGATCAACTCGAATCTCTGTTTATGACAAATCTAGATCACTCACGGATTGTCTTTGCTTAATACGCATACATTTGAGTAACAGGGGCTACGCAAAAATGGTAAGACAAGACGGCAGTTTCCCAGACGAGATGCCACTCAAAAGGGACGGATGAAGCGTTTCTTCATGTTAGCAGATGGCTTGGAGACCATGAATCATGGTTCGGCTGTGTTCTAGGCTCCGCAAGATCGAATCATAGCTGAGCACAACACTTTGGCTCGTGACGATCCGCAATAACACCTGGGTCCAAGACAATTCAGCATCAGACAGAGGGCGGTTGTGGATAAGTGTAAAAAATCAGTAGATTTGATCGGCCGTGGTTGTCCCCTGGCTGGCCCTAATTTGGTTCCAGAACATGTCAAGTGGGGCGTAGAAGTTGCCCTTCTATCGGGGAAACTTGGCAAAGCCAAACCCGAAAGCGAACTTCCCTTTCGGGAAGGGAATGAGGGATCCGCAGGCTTGGGGCTCCACTCGGAAAGTCTTATACTGTGCCAGCGAAATACGTCATATGAGATGAGGCACTGTACTCAATTGGAAGGTATAAAAGCTCCAGCTGGGAGAGGGAAGGTAGGGTACTTTTGTTTCAGTCATTCATTCTGGTTTCTCTCCCTCACATTTCCTCTTCGTTTGTTGTCGAGTACTGGCTATGACGAACTCCAGTATTTGCTCACCCACGGCCATACCGACACCGTCTGTGTTCGGGGCTGAAGTTCTTTCTCTCTCCGCATCCTGGGTCAGCAATTATAGCACATATATTTTCGCCGATTTCAACTACAATGGCGGTGCTGTTAGTCTGGATAATGCCAGGTTCTGTAACATCACAGTAACCTACACCCATCCCGGGTATGATGACCGAATCACTGTCGAAACCTGGCTCCCGCCGCCGGATCAGTGGAACGGCCGTCTACAGGCAACAGGGGGCGGCGGATGGGCTGCTGGCCGATGGCTGTTGTCAGACACGTTTATGGGAGGAGCGCTTGGGGAAGGCTATGCTACAACCACGACTGATGCTGGACTGGGCATTGATACAACTGGACCGACTGAATGGGCGCTTACCAGCCCTGGGAATATCGACTACGTGGCTCTGAACAATTTCGGATCGCGGGCCTACAATGATCAAGCCCTTATTGGGAAGAGCTTGGTGCGTAGCTTCTATGGCCGCGCCCCGGAATACTCCTACTGGAGCGGCTGCTCTCAAGGAGGCCGACAAGGGCTAATGCTTGCTGAGCGGTACCCGAGGGCCTATGATGGGATCGCAGCCTCGGCACCTGCGCAATCCTGGACTAAATTTACCTCCTCACTCTACTACCCTCTCTTTATGCGCATCTGGCACAAGGTGAGCCCGCTAGTCTGTGAGCTTGACTTCCTTACCAGCGAGGCCATCGCCGCCTGTGATCCCCTTGATGGAGTGGTCGATGGACTTATCTCAAATATGACCGCCTGCAACTACGATCCCTACACCGCGGTGAACAAGACCTTCTCGTGTGCGACCCTGAACCGGACTATACCACTCAGCCCGGGCGCCGCGCTAATCGCCGATGCTGCATGGTCGGGCGCGCAGACCACGGACGGCCACCGACTCTGGTTTGGGTACAACCCGGGGTCTGATATTGGTAGCACCTTTGGGTCAATCCCAGGATTTAACATCAGCGTGCTAAAGGACGAGTGGTTCAATCTCTTTGTGGCCAAGAATGCCAGTTTTGACAGCTTCGGGATGAGCCACGAGCAGTATCAGGAGTTTTTCGAGCTTGCCACCCAAGAGTATGCCGATGCATTGAATGCAGCCGATCCAGATTTATCCGCATTCAAGGCCGCGGGCGGCAAACTCATCACCTACCATGGCATGGTACGTACTCATTTGGTCCCGCTGTCATCTTCTTTCCCCAGTTGAACCTCTCCTTGTCTATGACGACTCACCTTTGAACAGGCCGACCCTCAAATTCCTACTAAAGGCACCGAGTTTCTCTACGACGAGGTGCAGGGGCGGTTCCCAGATGTCCATGACTTTTGGCGGTTCTTTGAATCGCCTGGGTTGGGCCATTGCTCGGGCGGCCTTGGCGGACAGCCGACCACCGTCATGCAGGCGCTGCGACGCTGGGTCGAGAATGGCACTGTCCCGGAAACCCTACCCGTGGAATACCCAGACCTTCCAGATGCACCTCATCGCATTCTGTGCCCGTATCCTGCTCAGGCTGCCTACATCGGTGGTAATACCTCATTGGCTGAGAGCTTCCGCTGCGTCTGAGAGCAAGGGGGGGGGGGGGGGGATGGTGCTAGCACATAGTTAGATGCAGCCCCAGCTTCATCACTTCTCATCGGCATGATCTGCGTTGCTTCACTTTTTTTAAATTATAGATAAATCCTCTCCAGGTACTTTAGGCTCCAAGCTCACTGACTGGATGCAAATCCCTTTTCTCACTCTTCTCATTCTGAGCATTGCATTCAAGTTGATACTATTCAGATATCCTGTACTTTACGTCGCCCTTCAATAGATGTGTATAGATAGACCATCCTCTTCAGGCATGAATCTTTGGCGCCAAATAGAAACAGTATCGCACCGCAGGTATCCTTGGGACTAGGATAGCCTTTCGGGGGTGAGCACAGCAAGGCACCGTTAGCGAGCGGATGTCGACTATAATATAAATACATGCTGGACAGAGACCAATGAACTTACTCTATCTATCCGCATCTCAACACTGACAGGAAGAGGATTGCCAACAAAAATGCTACCACTTGTAACAATTATTTATTGCTGTTTCTACACTGATAAGCCACTCGCCAATTTCGAGTCCGGCCTCCTGAACAAGGATGTCGAGTCGATCTCAGTAACACAAGATTGAAGTCCCTTTTGTCATGTACATTGTTTGGAGATCTATTCTCCCGTCTAGGGCTATCCCTGCCTTACTCTGGTTTCTGTTTACAAAATAGGGTGAAAGGAAACTGGCTCATTTCTACAGTCATGCTTTCACGTCACTCGGCTCGCTTAGTGGCTAGTGGCAGCGGTTTCTATTTACTGTACCTTGAATAGAATTTCTAGATGAAGTTGGGTGAAAAGGGGGGGGCGTAACAGAGATCGTATGCATTTAGGATCGAAGTATTGTAGTCGGATAGTGGGGGTGTGGTGCGATAATCCCTTCCTCACCACTGCCGGGGGCTCCAGGGATCCAGGGACTTTGTACAGTGTCCGGACGAACCCTTCAAACTAGCCTATTCCAGGGGTGCCCAGGTGGATTTCAAGTGGATTCCAATATTCGAGATTTTGAGCTTGTATACAGGATCTCCCCTTCTAATTTCCCTATTGCGCAGCTGGGTCGCAGGATGAGAAGAGTTTCTGCCGAGCCCCACGGGAAGTCTCGGCTCTTTCCTGAGCACCACCAGCATGTTTCTCCGAGGTTTCCCCTTGTGCTCTTAGTATGCTTCTCATTATCACTGTAGAGGTATGACTGGCAGGCAGACAAAATAGTTACGGTGGAAGTATGAAATGTGACTCGCCGACCTATAAAAGCAAGATTTCAGACGAACCCTGTCTGTCGCCAGTCACACGGTCTACATCCCACAGTCGGGATCTCCTTGCTCGGATATACTATTCTTATTCGGGGCACATCATCACACACCACACACCACACACCACCGCATAGGAAACAAGGCGAAGGAAGAAGGAATGCACAGGACATGCTCGACAGAGGTGGGAAGCTGGGTGGGTGTGGCCTGTTGATTAAGAACACACGCACACGTACATACAAACACTGGTCCGAGTTTGTTCAGCAGACAGGTGCGATCTGGACTCAGCACGTCGATCGCTGGCCAACTATCGTGAATACATCATCTGGGGCCCCATCTGGTATCCTGCCACCTCCGGCCTCGTGCGCAGCTCGGCCTCCTTTTCCTCCTGAACTAGCGTGCAGCAGCCACACCAGAAGGTCGCACAGCAGTCGCCGCAGCAGGAGCCGCGGATCCCGTACTTCTGCCGCATCTCCCCTCGCTTGATTGTCTGATAGATCCAATGCAAATAGCCAAAGGAGAGGACAGTGTAAATCGCACACTAGAAGGAAGACAGGGGCCAGGAGTTAGCGTACCCGAAGTTATTCACAGGATTCGGCATCGAAGCTCACCTCGCCGTTGATAGCGCTGTAGTCTCCGAGGCTCGGGTTCTGCAGTCGGGATTGGGTTTTACCAAAGGCCAAGCAAGGGAGAAAACAACTGGTCAGGCCTGGGAACCAACGTTAGAGTACGGTTTCCGGGCTAATCAGTGTTGAAACACCGGGGAAATGATAGTACAGACACAGTGAGCCCGGAGAGCAACAGTCGCAAAGAGAATAGTTCCAGTCGGGGTTGCGGGTGACTTGCTGCGCCTCGCCCGAGCGGACCTGCTGGTAGGTGGGTGGCTGGCTGGCTCGGTTGGGCACGGTAAACCTTCTCGAAGTCTCCCATGGTGACAATAAATCGGCGTACTCGTGAGCGGGAGATGGGTGAGGAGGGAAGGGATGTCAGGAAGGGGGTATTTGGGGAGTAGGGACAGAATTTGACACTGAACCGATTGAGTGAACCAGGAACCGGGCTGAAGCCCCTTCTTGAACACTTTTTATAGAGGGTTGTGAACTGATTTCAACCACACAGGATAGAGCCGGGCGTCGAGGGATACAATCTAGAATAGCTCACAAGGGAGTGCTCAACTTTTGGGACGCATTAAGAATAACCAGAAGGCTAAGCTGTAACTCACTCTTGTAAGACTTCCTTCCGATGGGCGACTATCAAGTGGGGCCACCTGTCGGGGGGGGAAACAGAACATTCTTTTTTCCGCAAATAGAGAACGTGTAAGAAGGGTTTCATTCGTTAAAGTCTTCTCTCCTACATCAGGACTCATAAAGGCTTCTTCAGAATCCACCAGGTAGAGGAATAGTGTGTCAAATGGCAAGAACAGCATGAATAATACCACCTTCGCGCTCCATATAAGGAGATATTGATCTGAAGGCTGGCAAATCCCTACTTTGGTGAGGCTTGACAGGGGGTCCAAATTGAAAGCTTCTGAGCAACCCACGTGGTTATAGTGGAAAGTATATGTATGCCCCATGAGGCCCATCCATGCATCCGTGGTTGTCACGCAAAAGCCCGAAAAACGAACTGCTCTTTTTGGAAGACCCACTTCTCGGGGTCCGAGGAGAATTCCAACGCTGTGGTACGCTGTGGGCCCCGCGGAGTTGGGTAGCTTTTCTGAATTGGCTCCGAGGTTCCTCCTTCCAATAAATCCTACCTTCGAACGTCAAAAAGCTTGAACTTGTTTCGTAATAAAAGTGGATGGATGGTGTGACCCTCCTATCTTACGCTGCGGTACTTTGCAGCGGCCCGGGGCGAAGATAAAATCATCTCTGCGCCCCTGGTTCCTTAGCGGCTTTGCCAAACAGGGTATTTTTCGCTATACAGCGATACCATCATAGTCCGATTCAGGTAAAGCCCAAAGTCGTAATGGCGTTTTCCTGTGGTATTATTCAGCAAGACTGGATTTTGGCAAGTGAAGCACCATGCAACGTGACTCACACTAAAAGAAATTTGGTAGTAGAAATTATTCTAGGTGAGCGGGTAATATATCCGGTAAATGTCATTGGCAGGACATAGCTCTGGCTCATGGTTGAGTATGCTGACTTGGATCAACTAGCTGGCCTATAAACAACCTGCTCTGATGGACGCTACTATAAAACCTCAATATTTTATGTTTCCATCCATTGAAGAATTATATGAGTATATAGACTAGTTCTATTACAGTACAAACAGTACAGGCCTGGAGTATTTCCACTGTCTCTGATATCTACTATATCCTCTATACCTTGACTATCCTATACATCTTCTCTATCACCCTACATTTCTGTCAGGTCCCTTCAAAAGCCTCTCTATAGATACACAGCCCACATTTGGTCCCAAATGACAAGGATACCAATAAGAACGAGCAGTCAACTTCCCCTCCATAGATGTATAAAATGTGCAGGATCAAGAACGTAGTGGCTTGCGACCATGTACATAGTGGGGGATTGAAGCCCGCACGCTACCCATCACACCCGTACTGTTGATACCTAGTCTGAAGAAAAGGCATTCTGGCCTTGAAGGCTGCAAAGTTCTAAAGTCTGACTCGGAGCCACGCTAGGCACCACATTCAAGGTTTCGGGGTTTCGGCAGAGCCAGCCACGGGTCCAGACAACAATCAAGGGGCATTGCCATCACTGTCTCTTCGTCCTTGCTCCGGCTACTGAGCATGATTCTAATATGATTGACTGTATCTGACTTTCTGGTGAGGAGCGGGCCACGACGAGGGATTATGGACGGAATCATCCATACGTCTTGTGCAGGCAAATAGCAAGTTATGGAGGAAGACGAAAGCACAAGTCGGCCTATAAAGGTTGCTTCGCAGCGGGTCAGCAAGCGACGGGACCACGGTCTGGTTCGATCCTTTGTCGATGAGGATGTCACGGTCCGCTGAGACGCAGGGAATGTTATGGTCATCTTACCCCCGTCCGCATTGCAAGCCCATGTTGACTAAAAGTAGGTGTTTCGAACTGATGCAATCAGATATTTGGGGTTGCATCCGGGTGCTAGGGCCGAGAGGTGCGGTTAGTTCAGGCGAAATATTCAATTGGGCGAAAGGGAAAGTCGTGTAGAGTACAATTATAGCCACTGCTGTCATCCACCGCTCCGAATGAGTGAGTCAGAGAGTGCATGCGTTCCTCAAGAAATACAGAGGGTGCCAAGTAGCAGCAGCAGAGCTTGAGCAGTCTCGGTGATTGCGCTGTTTGTGGCAAATCCAAAGGGGCAAAGCTGACCTGTTGGTCAATAGAGGGAGGAGGAAGAGCCTGCGCAATGCCGATCATACATGATATGGAGCCTCGGAACTGCCCACCGGTAGACCTCAGAAGGAACGTTTTCATACGATAGGCAGCGGGGTGGGTCTGAATGGTCGAGAACCTGAGAAGCCTATTTCACTGGGGAGCGGACAGGGAATGCGATACAAACGTCCATGCCAGTCCAGTATATCTGGACTGATGTTCTCAGCTGGTATTGGGTGAGCCTGTAGAGAAAATAGATCAAATATCGAAGAATCTCCAAAAGTCAACTCCATTGTGAATGAGGTAGGTGGAAATAGTGGTTGAGGTGCGCGAGGGAAATGCACGGAGAGGCCGTACATTCACATATGTGTCGCCCAGGCTGGCAACAGAAGCTGTGGCCCACTTAGTATCTCTGTAGGCATCAGCACAGCCTCATACAAGGCTCTGTGACGGGCGTGCCTTCGTCATAAGCAGATATGACTGCTCCTTTAAGAAGTTCCTGTACTCTGCTTCTGCACCCTCTCTCTGAGATTCCATTCTGCGAATCGAGTTGGCGCCATATTAGTACTAGCACCTGGATCGCAGGAGACCAGACAAGCCATGGAACGATTCCCAATTAGTCTTAGAGCCTTTCTTGATACCATCGTCTCCGGAACGGCACTTAATTCAATCCCCGTCCCCAGGGTCCAAACGCGAAGTGCCACAGCGGCATCTACGTCCCACGAAGCAGTAACAATTCCACGTCGACTACCTCCAGCCAATTGCAAAATCCAATATCAACATCGTCGCCGCTCACAAACACATGTAGGCCGCCGCGGAAGGTGGACAGGACGGAAACCAAGGGTTTCAGTCCATCATAGAAAGCACGGCGCAAACAACGAATGTCTACTTCTGCCCCAAATCCCATGGCGGTGGTTACATTCCCAAGCGAAGTGCTTAAGAACGCCGTCGAAAGCGAGCAGTGAATCTCCATAGATGGTAGCGAGGCAGGAATTCGGCGAAGGTTCTATAATTTCGTCGAGAATGAAGCAAGCTTTGCGATTATAGGTGAGAGGGGGGCCGATAAGTGAAGGTGTAACTCTATGGGATCTGGTAAATTATCAGTGAAGCCCTTCTCTGATTACCCTATAATAGCACTGGACTACTTTGATTGCTTCCCAGTTCCCATATATCGCCACGTTCATTCATGGAATGTAAAGTACCCCTGATTATTCAAGCCTATAATTGAGAGAACAAAAAGCCTCAGGAGGCTCTAGGTACAGTACTTTCCCATGTCCTGGACATTATAAATAATACTAACTGTCGTCACGGATGAAACAGCCCTGATACGTCTGTCACTCAAAGGAAGCTGACCCTCATGGGCATTCGGTACTTTAATTGGTCCTCGGGTAGAGAGGCAAAGAGCCCGCAGCTCAAAATTCTTCAGCTAAGAATGACGGAAGAGCCATGCCATAAGGTGCTATGTCTCGCGGCCTGGCTGTGGGGGGCCAGACAATGCTCTTGGCAGGAGCCGCTGCAGGGGAGATGAGTGAGAGGGACACAGAAGACGGAGAATAACAGTTATGCACGCAGCAAATCTCCCAGTCACCCTAGCTTGTACTGCCGGGCATTCCAATGGGCATCATATGAGCCACGATGGAATCTCGACCATCGTAACGGGGTGGAAATCGAAAACACGTCAGAACCATCCCCGACCCCTGCGCCTCCTCCAATTCCTCTCACCCAACCCAGATGAGTATTGTCGGGGCGCGGCGAGCTTATGTATATATGACTACGTATTAAATGAAGGTTGCCTAACGCTTTCCAAGCGCTTCCCCACTCACGACATACTACCGGCAAAACAAAAACCCCCACCAGTAACGTAGCGATCATCACACAACTCGCCCCAGAACCAACCTCTTTCTACCTTCTATATCGGACAGACTGTGGCCATGAACAGGCACCTAGCCGTCATATGCTTTTCTAGCTGCCTAATGGGACATTTTTGTGTGGGAACCTAACTGTAGAGAGTGCATTCATAGTCGCTGTATAGGCGTGAGTTACTCATTATGCTGACTTACGCAGACAAGCTTCTGCGTAAGCGGGGAATTCTCCGAGTTTCCAGGCTATCATTCGCTCACAGATAAAAAGGGAATCCACCCAGTGCTGACAGAGCGGCATAATCTAGCCGCCTTCGGATAGTGTATTTGGAGACCACGACATCTACTCCACCCTGAAATTGATCAGAGAATTTAAAACAGGGAGGCTGGAAGCGAACCGCTGACATTCTGTCATAGTCAACTGGGCATCATTGAGGAGGCTGGGAACAAAGATGCGAAAAGGTTGTGTCTATCATCCGGCGGGAGGCAGAGGGAAAACAAGTTTGTCTCCATGGTTCTGCCATATATACTTCGTTTCTCATCCACCATGTATAGCACTATGTCGCCTTATCGGTACACCAAGCGCCCAGATCACACCCCGTCATTCGAATGCTGCGTTTACTTCGGCATACCGCTGCGCTTCTCTCCGCGCTCTCCGTGACCTTCGCACAGACTTCCACTGACTGCAACCCTCTAAACAAAACCTGTCCGTCCGACACGGGCTCAACCGACAGCAGCCTCCATTATGACTTCGTGCAGAGCTCAGAGACTCTTGCACAGTGGTCGACGCTGTCGGGCAGCCCAACGGTAGGCGCCGAGGGCGTCGAGCTTACGATCAACGAGGAGGGCCAAGCCCCCACGATCGCCACGCCGTTCTACATCTTCTTCGGCGAGATCAGTGTCGTCATGAAAGCCTCCGCTGGCACGGGGATCATCAGCAGTATAGTGTTGGAGTCGGATGATCTCGATGAGGTGGACTGGGTACGAGCACAATCCCCGCCCCACTGTCAACTGCATCTACTCGCTCGTCGGACCCTCTCCCACTAACAACCTCCTCTCCCACGGGACAGGAAATCCTGGGGTCCTACACCACGGAGCTACAAACCGACTACTTCGGGAAGGGCGACTCCTCCACCTCGGACCGCTGGACCTGGGAGCCCGTCGACGACCCGCAATCCACTTTCCACAACTACACCCTCACCTGGACGCCCGCGGCTCTCACCTGGAGCATCGACGGCACCGTCCAGCGCACCCTGACGTACAGCGACGCCGCGGACGGCACCCGCTACCCGCAGACCCCCTCGCGGATCAAGGTCGGGATCTGGGCGGGCGGGGACCCGAACAACAGCGCGGGGACGATTTCCTGGGCCGGTGGGGAGACGAATTACTCCCAGGCCCCGTTTACGATGGTCGTGCAGACGGTGGATATCGTGAACTATTATCCGGCGGAATCGTATACGTACAGCGATGAGAGTGGGGACTTTGAGAGTATTGTGATAGAGGGGGGTAGTGTGACGAGTTTGTCGGCTTCGGCGGCGGATTCCGGGTCCGGGTCAACTGCAACGGCCGGGGTGGCGCCTGCGACTGCTTCGATTCATTGGGCTGGGACGGCGGGTCCGGTCTCTGCGTTTTCTGTTGGTGTGCCGGGGGTGTCGGCTTGGACGTGGTTGCTGTGCTTGATTGTTTTGTTGGTGTTAGGATAGAGTTGGTCCATGTCCTGGGGTAAGCTAGGGCGGCGCAGGAGGTGTCGAATTGTAGATCCAAGAGCACGATATGCGCTTTAGAACCTAGTTAGCCCTGTCCCCAGGCCTAACTCAAACAAATATTCTTTTTGAGCTATCAAAGAAACAGGAAAAACTGAAAAGATGCTGCCATTGCTATTTCCTGGTAAGAAAGTCCCGAAGAGATCTGCCAAATATTTAAACGTCAATCTCTACTACTCAATGTCATCACTGACAAGCTCCACAACCTCCATCTTCCTCAACCTCGCGGGCTTCCAGGGTGGCCGGTAGGGCTGAGATTCCACATCTGTAAGGAAGGACTTGGTCCGGTCCCCAGCCGCCTGGAGCAGCTGCATACGCTTCGCCGCATCGCCCGGGAAAGCGCATTTGCGCAGCTCGTAGACCAGCGATCCGTTTTTCATCGTGCTGGCATGCTCTCGGGCCGCCACCTCCTCCAGCTCCGCCATAAGCTTCTGCTCCCGGGGAGTCAGCGGGTCTGCCGTCGTCGGCTTGCCCAAGGCGAGATACTCCTTGATGAACGACTCCTCGAAGCCCTTGAGCGGAGCCGAGGTCGCCAGCCAGTCGGCGCGCATGTAGTCCCTTTCGTTGAACAACATGTCCTCGCGGTCGACGTCCTCCCACAGGGCCATCTCCGGGATCAGCGTGATCTCGCCAGTGTCTTTTTAAACTTTCTTCCAGTACCATCCTTCGTATTTGAGCCAGGGGTTGTCCGCCGGCGGAGGGGGGTTCTTCACGGGGACAAAGTCCTTCAGCGCCTGCGGTTCGTAGTACAGCGGGGAGCCACGTGGGTGGACCTGGCGATGGGCTTCGCTCGTCGCGTAGCGCACGATGGGATGGATGAACTCATCCGTAGCTCCTTCGGCGTTGGCCTTGGCGTATTGGCCCGGGGTGCGGGGGATATCGCCCGCCAGCGCCGTCTCCCGCCCCCAGCTGTCGGGACGATACCCCAGGCCCCAGCCACCGTATCCGGTGATGTGCGTGGCGTGCGGGTTATCCCAGGAGTACCAGTGCGCGGTCTCGGCGTGCGTGTAGTGGTGTTTGCTGCCCTGCTGGAAGCCGCGGCGCGAGAGGTCGACGATGGTGCAGTTGTAGTGGTGGTAGAAGCGGGCGAGGGCGTGGTCCTCGAAGGCCAGGCTGGTGCGGTGGCGGACCTGGTCGATCATCCAGACGAGGGCGAGGTTGGCCATGGCCTCGAGGTCGCCGTAGCTCTTGACGGTGTTGTCGCTGCCGCCGCCGACGTTGATGTGGTAGCCCGGGAACCAGCACTGCACCAACTTGGTCGTCACCCCGGACGGGCGGCTCCACAGCGTCGGGGTGAAAGGGGCGCGGTCCTCGTCCAGCGCCAACGCGTGGAAGGCGTGCTTGATCTGGTTGTGCAGCTTGGTGTCGTGGAACCCGTAGTTGGCCTCGTTGCGCTCGCTGAAGTCCCACCACACGTTCGCCGGGATGCCCAGCGCCCCCACCGTGTCGAACACCCCGACGACCTCAATCTCAACCGCCTTGTGGAACCGCTCCTTCCAGTCCGTATAGGGCTTCGTCTTCCCCCAGGACTTCATGTGGTGCATTCCCGAACCCTCTTCCTTCGCCTTCTTCTCGGCCGCCTGCCGCTTGAAGTTGAGTTTGTAGTCCGCGTACATCGACCACCAATCATCCATCATGTCCGGCAGGCAGATGCCCATGTTGCAGATGAGGCCGGCCAGCGCGCGCGCCGTGTACGCACCGCGGGAGAAGCCGAAGATGTAGATCTGATCGCCGGGGGCGTAGTTGTTGACCTGGTACCCAGATTGTCAGCATGACTTGCACTCCTCGATCGGTTTGGCGAGGCTCCGACGGCCGCCCTATGTATAGATGGGCTGGCCTTTCCGAACATACCAGAAAGTTATAAGCCTCGCACACATTCTCCTCCAGACCGCGTCCCAGGCCACCCTCCCAGCACTTCTGAACCTTCGCCACGAACCGGGTTGGGAAGCTCTCACTCTCCACGGAGGCGCTGTTGGCCGTGCCAACTCCTGCGTCGTAGTAGATTAGCTGCTGGATGCACTCCCCATCTTCATCGGTCCAGCCGGCGATTGATCGCGACAGCTTGGCCACGTTGGAGGCCACGTTCCGGAGGCCATGGCTCGAGGTCTGCCAGGAGCCGTCGCAGCAGATCACCAGTCGCCGCATCGGACGCGAGGGTCCATCTTCAGAGTTGCCTTGTGCCATGGGATTCATTGTGCTGTTGGGTGATCAAGGAAACGAAACCCAGATGGAAAAATACAATCCCAATTCCCAATTGCGTTGAGGAGATAGGAAAAAGGTGAATGCCAAACCCCAACAGGCGGGCGCACTTCTCCCCTTTTATCCTCAGACTCGTTATGAGGGATTGACTCTAGCCCCTATTGAGCTCTCTTCTCAACCCTTCTCTCTTGTGGCGAGCTGAAAGAATGATCTGGTGACCTTTGTGAAGGCATATAGAGTAGTATTTCCCGATACTAGCATCTCTCGCGAGTACTATAAGCGAGGTTAGCTTCAATGGCTTGCATCTGCGTGTGGTGCATCAAGGGAATGCTTTTATTCTCGCCACCGACACGCATTATTCACCCACTTATTCCTCGGCTCGGCCGGAGATACCACTTGCCAGCATTGCAGCTCCGTCGTGGTGCCTTTCAGCTGGACTAGCCCCGTGTCGGGCCAGACTATGCGGCAGCCTGTACTTCGGTAATATTAGCCGACAGCGCCGGACATGTTCCCCTTCTTGCCCTTGACCGGGCAAAGATGGCGCTTCTACGAGAGGATCTCAGTTTGAGAAGGGTCGTCAATCACTTGACTATTTCTCGAACCCCCTTCCTAGCAAAAATACCCCTATATATCCCATCAGCTGTTCATGGCCCTCTCTCTGACCATAGTGTTTTCATACTGATATCACCAGAGCCGTGAATTGGCGAGGATACTTGCACAGAACAACAGCCCTGGATGTACGAAAAAGAGATCAATCTCTCGCTAGGCCGGTCAACAGGCCATTCGAGCCGTTGAGCACTCCAGCCTCGACGACCATATTCATCCATTCCGTGCAATCATCCTGTTCCGCCCGACTCCAAGCACCAGCCGAATCTACACGATCGGATAATCCTTCAGCGCAAGCCTTGCCACCCAACATCGACAGTGTCCGGCTCGCCAGAGCCACAAAGATATCCCGATACGGCGCCGCCACATCCCAGCGTTCCGCCATGATCACCAACGCGATCGTGCAATCGTTACAGGTGCTGTCCGCCTGCGCGGGGCCAGAGACCTCTCCTCGCGCGGCAGACGAGGTCGTCCACAGGCAGTGGAGATATGTCAGTCCCGCCAGGAACAGCTCATGCAGCGCCGCCCAGGTACAGCTCGTCGGCTTCCCCAGGAACTGACGGCGGTAGCTCTGGCAGATGCTTTCTGCGGCTCGAAGGCATTCCAGAAAGACATCCTCGGTCGCCTTTCCTCCCGCCTGAGGGTCGAGGATCTGGGCGTGACAGAGCTGGAGGATCGTGTAGTTGTACTCCAAATCATACCAGTCTGCGCTCGTGAATAGGGCCAGGTCATTTTGGGGGTGGGACGGCGGCGAGGGCGGAAGCTCCGAACGCCACTTCTCGATCTCGGCGCGGATGTTCGCAACGTCGCGCTGCCGGTCATGATTGCCGGCGCAAATGGGGTCGGCCTTGGAGTAGAGGCGGGTGTGGATGAGGTTCAGGAGTCGTCGCATGCGGAAGGTGTAGATCGCTCTCGTCATGGTGGTGGGTGGTTCCTGCGGGCGGCTCCGGGGCGTGGCTAGTAGTCCTGTGCTCGTGATGCACGTATCGTCAATGTCAATGGGATACTATACACGATAAATGGTCAGAAACGGAGCGCAGATGGAGCGATGCTGATAAAGGTAGGAGTCCTATTCGAACACACCTCAGCGTCGACCTCTTGATACGGTACACTCAGCGGTCGGCCCAACATGACGGCAGCCTGGGTCTCTATCACATAGGCGCACCAGAACACCCGCTTGCGAAGTTCGGTCCGAACTAAATCTTCTGCGGGGACGGAGAAATGCTTCGTATGTCGATGGTACCCCAGATCGATGCACTGACGCAGCGCCAGACTGCCCAGCTTCCTGTCACTTTCATGAGCACATGCGATCTTCGTCCTCGTTTTTCTTGATGGTGATTTATACCAGTGCGATGTGCCCGTCGGAGATCTCACCGAGTAGATGGCGCAGCACAAGATGGCCTGCACCGCTTCGAGGTTATCATGGATTAGGATATCATCGATATACATTAGTGCTGATGTATACAGGCGCTGGTGATCAGTCAGTGAGCGCTTCCGTTCCTTGATTGGGGTCGTCTGCTTACTTCCGCTGAGAATCCCAGTTGGGGCAGAAGCAACGCCCCGACAGCGTATACCTACCGGTGTGAGCACTTTCTGTCCCCATTCGGTAGTCATGGTCTTGTTAGACCTTACCATGTTCAAGAAGAATAATGAGATAGGATCCGGATGAAGATTTTCCTGCCCTGTCGACTCGTGTAGCAACATGGACTCCCATGTCCTGAAGGTCGGCTCATGTAGAACGGGGTAGTGAACGTTCACATTCTGGAAATAGACATTACTGAGCCTGACTGCAGACTCGTGATCGGGCAACAGGCATGGTGACGGTAGCACCGAGACGCGATTCTCCGGCCCATCAGCCACAGTACCCGTGGGAAGATCGGAGGAAACCACCTGGCGAAGAGACGGATTGATCAAGCGCGAGAAGGCGAAGATTGAAGACGAACCCAGATATTGAGGCTCTGCGCCCGCGGCATTGAGACTCAGTAGGCCCACTTTGGCTTCCAGTTTGTCGACAGCGTCGTCTCGGTTCAAATCATCTTTGGCTTTGCGGGAACTCATCGGGTCACTGTGGTGGACATCAGAACTAATTATGTGTTGTATCCGTGGGGAGGTAGTAGATGCTTTTTGTCTCTCGGGTGCATGACGGCTGAAAAGGTCACTGCAGACGAGATCAGGACAGCGCTCCTTTAGCAAGCTCTCCAGAAACTCCACTCGTTTCTCGAGGATCTCGATGTAGTTACGTGGCCGACATGTCCTCGTGACGGGGTCTTCTACGAGGCAGACTGTTTTCCTGTGTCAGATCATTTAAGCTTAATCAACCCCACTTTTGCAACCGGAAGGAACCGAGCGACCGGAAGAAACACCGACCGGATTCAGCACGTAGGCAGTTGTTACACCCCGAGGGATTATTGTCGCACTTCCATCCTATCGGGTCAGAAGAAAGCTGCCTGAGGCACTGGACAGGGTGTATAGTCCTCTTACCTTCCATTTCTTTTCCTTGCATTTCACGCATGCCAAAAGGGCTCGGCAACCCGAGGGTCTCCGTGCAGCGGACCGGGTTAAAGGGGTCTTTTGGCCCTTCTGGGGCAACATGGCGTATATGTGGACCCTTCAGCTGTCAATATTGCTGAGCGTGCGTTGTCAACTGGAGAAGGAGGGGATGTCAGGTCGGAGCGTCGGGGTAGAAAGGGTCAAAGAATTCCAGTGGAGAAGCGTCGCGGGCGATGATTCTCTTGGAGTGGCGATGAAAAGAAAAAAGATAAATGCCGCTGCGCTGACTGGAAGGTTGGCCTGGACTGTCACTGGCATACATATTAGATTACCAAATTGAGCAAATGGCAGCTGAGACCCACTATGCACTTAATTAAGTACCCCGCACGCTAGACAATCTACGGAATCGTAGACAGCGGACCGAAGGATTTAGTGTTTAATAGCAGATTTGTTTGTATCCCCAACCATGGAGGTTGTAGATCGTACATCTAGTGCTTTTCTACTGGGTCAACTCAATCGTACAGAACACGAGATTTTATGCGGCGTTTAGAATTGCGCATCCATTCAAATCCGAGCGACAGCCGCAGCTGACGCTTTGCAGCCTTCTCTTAACCGCTCAGCCCTTTCCACCGTGATTTGGAAAACCTCAGGCAGCTGCGACTCAGCCCACGAACTCCCAGCCATCAACTTCACCAAGCCTGCTGCAGCGGTGAAAATACGAGCCATACCACTGTGGTGTCGCAAAAGTCACTGTTAGCGTCACTTCATTTCAAGGGGGGGGGTAATTCACTTACTGTCCGTTGTGACCAGCACAAACCCACTGACCCGCAAGCCCTGGCAGCTCTCCGACAAAGGGCACGCCGTCTGCGCTCTAGTCTCCAGTCAGCTCCTGTCCTAATAGCATTACATCTCGAATTACTGCTTTCTTACCATTCCCATGATACCACTCCAAGCATGCGTGTAAGGCTCTTCTTGCTGCAATTCATCGGCGGTCCACCCCTTCACTTCACCGATCGCGAACGCCTGAACAGCCTTATTGATCGCGTCATGACCGGTCATACCATCATCAATGCACCGCTCTGGATTCCGGTCTAGCCACTTCATGAACTCCCCTTGGCCAGGGTTGCTGCCGCCAAACAGCACGGTGCCATCGCCATTCAGGCGGGGATTGATGCTGATCAGGTCGTCCCGACCAAGGAGAATACCATAGGAGTTCTTGAATCCTGCAAAATCTGTAGCAGTCTCCGGGATCGTGACTCGATTGCACATCTGGGGACGGGGAGTTATCAAGCCCCGCAGCGACGGCTCGAGGGCGGAACCATACGCATTGGTAGCATGGACGACCTGTGCGCACTCAATGTCACCGCGCTCGGTTCTCACGACCCACTGGCCTGGGTTCTTCTGAGAAGGGACGACAGCGACAGCTTTGGTGCTGGTCTGCAGGTTGACACCTCTCCGAATGTTCTCCCGCATCACATGGGCCGCCAGTTTCCACGGGTGCAGTGTGGACGCCGGCCACGCGTAACATGCTTGAGCATTTTTCATCTGGGAGATCTGGTATCTTGTCAGCCATGCCCTCAACACAGAGTAAGGATCTTGTGCGAACCTCCGCTGCTTCTTGGGGGTCGTGGGTCACTTTGATGTGATCGACCTTCCCTCCGGCGGCCTTGTACCGCTCAAACGTTGTGCGGGCTTTGCGCGCGGCTTCGGGGGTAATGGGAACATCCAATGTGGGTCCAGTCCAGTGTTCGCACTCGACATTGTTTTCCTGAATGTAGCGTACTAGCTCGGACCATGTCTGCTGTTCATTCTGCAGGATCTAGTTACAGAACTCGCAATTAGCGCCCGGCACGGTACAGCACACAGAGAATGCCCATACCTTCAGGGCCTGCTCCGTGCCAAACTGTCGCTCGTACTCCAGAAACCCTCTCCACTGGTCTGGCTTACAGTGGCCAGCGTTGCGACCCGTAGCACCGGAGCAGAACAGACGAGCCTCAATGACCACTATTTTCTTAGCAGGCCAGGTTTCCGTGAGGTGTTTGGCGGCCACGGTTCCGGACATCTGGATTCAGCGCTTAGCTACCTGTTCGAGAATCTGCACGCACTGAAGCTGCTACTCACACCCGATCCGATGATCACGATATCTGCCCACTGCGGCAACTCGGGCGTGGTTCGGTGGTTCAGCAGCGGATCTCCCTGCACCGATCCCAGCCAGTGGGAAATGGAGTACCCGGTCGGTTTGGGGAAGCCGAATCTTTGACAGTTGTCTTGTCTCATGTTGTCGATTTTATTGGTTTCTGATCTCGAATTGGCACAAATGGGGATGATCTCGGGAAGGCCAGCTGTATTTATAGGTGGCTCGGAGCTAACGAATTCCGTGCGGTCTGGCGTGGGGTATGAGATGAGGTGATATCGGAATGCACACCGAACCAGCAAAATTGGGCGGAACTTCCCGTCAATCAACTGGCCGACGGGGATCTTATCTGTATCAACTCCAGTACTGTTGAAAACATATCTGTGTTTTAGTGTCGAATAATCATACTGGTTAGCTAACAAGGAATAAAATTCTTACGATAACAATAGTCTCAGACCAATTATACTGTTTTTCTGTCGAATTGGCCGCCGGTGGCCAGAAAGAATGGTGTGCAGAGACTTTTTGCCCTTGACTGCAACTAAGCAGCACCGGCCCGATGGCGGCCTTCTTTCCCCTCTCAACCAGCGGGACTTTCCACCAATCTTATCGTCTTATCGTCTCGGATAAGTCGAACTATACTGGATGTGAGTACGTGATGTGGGCTTTTATCACCATCCCTGTCACCTTTCAACGGCCGGTTCCATATAAGTTCAGGATCGCCAGCATGAGATTTCCAGCATGCATTGAGTCTTTCTTCCCTCGTTCAAAACCATCTCACAATGCCTTCGGCCGCGCCCAATGGCAGTACCGCCGGCAGTCACACGCTCATGTGGCCCCCGGCACCTCGTGCCTTGCCGACATCTCGCCGTCCACGGGGGACGCCACCATCAACCTGCAACCGCGACCCTCCGATGACCCCAACGATCCCCTCAACTGGACGCCCCGGCGCAAGTACTGGAACATGGGACTCGTCTGCTTCTACGTGGCGATGGTGGCGGAATTCATCAACGCCAGTACGCCGACCTGGGGCCCCATGGAGGCCCAGCTCGGGTTCAGCGACGAGATCATGAATGACAGCTATGCAGCTGGCTGTGCGGGGTTGGCCGTTGGCTCTCTCGTCTTGATCCCGTTTGCGCTCAAGTTCGGCCGTCGACCGTTGTATCTCTTCAGCACGGTGGTCCAGTTCGGGATCTGCATCTGGTCGGCCAGGATCCAGACGGTGGGCGATCTCATGGCCGTCAACGTGATCCAGTGTTTCTTCGCGAGTCTGGCCGAGGCCATTGTGCAGATGACCATCGCGGATCTGTTCTTCGTGCACCAGCGGGGCCGGATGAATGCCCTGTATGTCTGGACGTGGCTGCTTGCCACCTACCTCGGGATCCTGGTGGCCGGGTTCGTGGCCGACGGTCTGGGGTGGCGATGGATCTGGTGGCTGAATGCCATTATTTGCGGGGTGACGATCTTCGTTGTCGCGTTTGGGTACGAAGAGACCAAGTTCTGTCCTCGGCCGGTTGGCTCCGCCAGGACGGATTTGCACCTGACTCCCTCAGATGAAGACCGGTCGGACGCAATCAAACGTCAGGACCATAACATGGTAGAAGACAAGGCGAAGCATCTCAGTGATGAATTAGTCACCCAGCGGAGTCAGAGCGACACCGATAAAAGTGCTCGAGAACTAGGCTCGGTAGAAGCCGCAGACGAAAGCGCGCGCGAGATCACCCCAAGGCCCGCTATCAACCCTAACATCCCGATGAAAACATACTGGCAACGACGTGCTCTGATCACGCCGACGACCTCGTCCGGTGCCACGAAGGACTCCTTCTTCCAACACATGTTTCAACCGCTCATCATCCTGGCGACAATCCCGGCGATCGCGTGGACCGCGCTAGTGTATGGGATCTTGGTGGCCCTGGGGGATGTCATGTCGACCACGATGTCCACCTACCTACCCCGTGCGCCCTACAACTTCTCCACCTACGAGGTCGGGCTCATGAGTCTGCCGCGGATGATTGGCGTCACGATCGGGGCCATTATCGTCGGCCCCCTGAGTGACTGGTGGATTGTCTATCGGGCTCGCCGCCGGCACGGCATCTTCCAGCCCGAGACGCGGCTGTGGTGCATGATCCCCTTCCTCCCCTTCGTCGTGGTCGGGGCCGTCCTCTTCGCCATGGGGCTCAGTGACCACCGTCCCTGGCCGGTGATCGCCGTGGGGCTGGCCTTGTACAACATCGGCGTCACCCCGATCAACACCCTCACCATCACCTACCTGACTGATTCGTATAGAGACGTAAGTGGACTCCTAGAAACCCTTCAGAATCAACCTCCTCAGTTTTTCTTTTTTTTTATGTTTATTTTCCCTGACAGTCAATGCAGATCATCGGCGACGCCCTGGTGGGTGTAACCCTCACACGCAACACGTTCAGCACGGTGTTCATTTTCGCGCTCTCGCCGTGGGTGGCGAAGGTGGGACTCAAAGATACCTTCGTCACGATTCTAGTCCTCGCGGTTGCGATTCTGCTGGTCTTTGTAGTCTTTCTGCGTTATGGCAAGGCGCTTCGGAGCTTTTCAGCCTCGCGTTATCTCTACTATGCCGCTCGGCAGTACAAGGAGAGATCAGGGTAGAGAAGGAAAAGAGTCAGCAATTTGAAGTTTGAGGCAGAAGAACCGGAATTCCACAGTGGATTGATCAATCAAAGACCCGTATTAAATTAAGACGGACGACGGAGATCGCCGTCGGATCTCCGCCGCCATGAGCTTCGCTTTGTGAATCCCCGTCTCCTCTTCAATGGCTTTCATCTTCTGTAGGACCCAGTCGCGCAAGGCATTACTGCGACCGTGGGATATTCCTGCAAGATAGAGTGGCCACAGCAGGGGCACGATGGACGCAGCGCGTAGGCCCTCCCGTGGTTTGCCGGCCTTGTCGCAGGCGTGGAGGATATATGGAACACTGGAGCATATATCCTTGGAAAGCTCCTGGATCAGCGATATCGAGGAATCCAATGAGTATGGGCATGGTGGTTCGGGTGAGGGCTGGAGTGCGGACGCTGACAAGGGAGACGTCTGCTGGGGAAGTAATTGTGATAACAGCGCAACAAGTGCCTGGTGGAGGAGGATGCGCGCACAGCGCTGCAGGTTCCATGTGTGGGCGACGTCGACGCTGAGGTACGTATCATACTGACCCAGCTGACACATCTCGGCGTCTTGCACGTCGCTCTGACGGGGGCAAGTTGTATACGCGTAGTCTGCTGGGAGGGATTCGGACCAGCGTTCCAGGTCTGTATCAACTGCAAGGATTGCGGAGACACACCGAGATAGATTCAGCGCGTCCACGCTACTGTCCTTACAGGAGGCTAGAACGGCGCAAGCATCGGCAACGAGATCTGCTAGCTGGGAGGCGGGGGCTTCGTGCTCTGTTTCGTAATGTCTGGCCTCCTTCATCTTCTTGTGTATTATGAGTGGCACCCGTAGCCCGCGCTGAAGGCAATTGAGGAGCTGTTTGGGGAAGTCAGACAGAACGGACATGCGATGAAGATATTCTCGGGGGAAATGACTCACGATCTCCGTACGCGCGTGGAGAAAAATGCCTCGACCGATCCTGTTGCGTAGCTGGTCGATGCCTCGGAGATGGATCAATGCCACGGCACCGTTTACATGCCTGTCCCATGAGCCCACATTGCCATCACCATCCGGAGTGACAGTCTAGTCTAGTCAATAGCTTACCCCAGTAAGTCTGGAGCCACGGGAGAAGTTACCTCGAACAAGGCCAAAAGCATTACGGCGACCAGCATCTGGTCGGATGCCGCGCTGCTGGGGTCCGCCAGCGCCGTACGCATATCACGAAGAGCGCGAGAAACCGCCTGGCTGGCGGCATGACCCAGCATGGGCGCATTCCGCACATGCGCCAGGCTCGCTAGTCCCACGGCGACGATGAGACTAGCCAGGTATCCCGGCCCAGTTGCTCGCTTGTAGATGATGCCCAGGCAGTCCGGGTGGCTTGGGGGTCGCCCGGGCGCGTGCGCAACGTAATGGTGGAAGAAGAATTGCAGCGCCTGATCTTCCGGTGGAACCGCGACAGCGGGCCAAGGGCCTTGGTCGATCTGCTGAACTCCATGGGATAATGCAGAGACCCGCTCCTTGCCATGAAGCGCAGAACGGAGCGTGCTGTTCCCGGGGGCCCGGGGGGAAGCCTTGCTCACCGTCTCGCCAGTCTGATCTCGGAATGTCACGTAGCTCTCGGCATCTCGGTATCCGTCGCATCTAGAGCCGGCCCTAAGACATTGACGACATGCTGGTCGTGATAAGTCGCACTTGAAGCCCCAAATATCCATTTTAATCAGCAGCGGTCGTCGATAACTAAGCTAACGAGTCAAGGCGTCAGACTAAAGGGTAAAATACCTTTCTTCGTTTGACTCGACATTCCCAGCACGCTTTACTGGGCTTGCCACGGTAGACCATGTTACATAGCGCACAGTAGCAATTTGCTAGGCAGGATAATAAGGTACTTGGAAGACTTCAAGCTGGTCGAGTTTTGGTTCTGCAAAGTACTGAGTACCCAGTAAGGTATTCTACTGTAAATTCCGCGATGCCCACCGCCACTGCTTTGTAAACTTCGCCGCTGCTGAATCCGGACTAGTCTATAGTGCCGTCGAGCTGGTTACCGAATCGAGGCTAGCCTAGCCGTGCCGGGGAAAACGGGCGATCGTACTGTATTTTGGTGAGAACAGGCCAACTACTTGGAAGGCATACCTAATGACCTCGGACTCGGGACCTCGGAGTGTGTCTTTAGAGCTCATCGAACACGATCCACATCTTCGAGCTGCCTACCACTTCCGGTAGGACGGCATTGGATCATGGTAGGGGTGCATGGGCAGCTCAGAATATAGTCTCCCTGGGAACATGTATAAAGTGCACCAACTGCCTTCCACTCATGCTCCTTTCGACAGAACCAAGATCGCGTTCCCACCACCTTCTTCTTCATCTCTTTCTTCTCCCATCAAACATAGAACATGTCGCAAGTCATCGCATTCGTGAGTGGAGCCACCGGCCAACAAGGCGGTGCCACAGCGCGCGAGCTCGTTACTGCCGGAGTCCGAGTACACGCGCTTGCCCGGGACCCGTCCTCAAAATCAGCCGTGGAGCTCCAGCGCCTCGGGGTGCGGCTCTTCCCCGGCGACTATGACAATCTCTCCGCCCTGAAAGCAGCGATGGAGGGCGCGACGGCCGTCTTCCTGAATGTGTCGCCCATGCTGTCGGACCTCCGAGGCGAGGTGGTGCATGCCAAGAACATCCTCAACGCGGCGATCGCATCCGGCACCGTGACCAGCATCGTCTACTCGAGTGTGGCGATGACCGGACAGCACGAGTCGTTCCCCAACTGGGGCCCCGAGTACCCGCTGCGGTGGTACTGGGAGAACAAAGCCGACATCGAGGCCATGGTGCGCGCCTCGGGACTGCAACACTGGACGATCCTGCGGCCCGCCCTCCTGATGCACAACTACCACGCGCCGATGGCGGCGTACATGTTCCCGGAGCTGGTCCAGCAACGGGCCTTTCGGACGGCCTACAGGCCCGAGACGGTGATGACGGTGCTGGCAGCCGAGGACGTGGGCAGGTTCGCGGCGGCGGCCCTCACCGACCCGCGCGCCTATCACACCCACGAGATCGACCTGGGGGTCGAGTCGCTCACGCCGGCGCAGATCGTGCAGGAGCTGTGCCGGGTCAGCGGGGAGGAGATTCAGCTGGAATTCTACAGCGAGGAGGAAGCGAAAGCCCTGGCCGCGAGGGATCCCAGACTCTACTCCCATCTGTGGGCAAATGAGGTGGGCTACCAGGTCGATTTCACGGCCCTCGAGAAGTACCCGATTCGCTTGACGAGGTTCGCGGACTATCTTGACAAGCATCGCGACGATGTTCGCGCGATGTTCAAGTGAGCATGTTGTTTTTTTATATGCCTGTTACCTGTAAAGGGCAGATGGCGGATCGGTGAATAGAATTGATATAAGATTATAAAAGAAATAAATCAATCAGGCAAGAATTCTATTCCTAGAAAAAAAAAAAGAAGGCCCGCAGGGCCTTTATTCTGCACTATATACATATATATAGGGCCATGGATGCCTCAGGCACCGATGGCTGGTCACATGACAGGCCGTCAAGGCACCTGTCATAATGTGTATCACAAGATGACAGCCAACGCTGCTAATTTGATACGCTAATCTGGAAGCTCTAGCTCGCAAGCTCCTTCTGAGTCCAATCCCACAGTTTTTCTGCCAGTTGGTCATCTTTCGCATTGTCGGTCATCTGTCCTGAAATGCCCACTGGCTCATAATACTCGCCGCTCTTGACCCCCTCGGACACCGACGCCCAGAGCTGATTCTTGGCACCTTGCTCAACGGTGACTGCCATCATTTTCGCCACACCGCGGAAGGCTCGCAGGAGGGCCGGCGCGTCACTTGCTCGGTCCATCAGTTCCGTCTGGACGAGACCTGGGTGAACGGAGACCACGGTCAACTGGGGATAGAGTTTGGCCAGGTGCCGTGCCCAAAGAATGTTGGCCAGCTTGCTCTGGGAGTACCGGCCAAAGCCACCCATGTCTTCGGCGGTGCTCTTGAGCCGAGCAAAGTCCAGAGCATCGCTGGGGGCTTGCTTGAAGGCGGTCGACGTCATGGAGACAACCCGCACATCCGCGCCGGAGTCGGCGGTCTTGAGCAACAGAGGCATCAGGAGCCTAGTCAGGAGGGCGTGGCCCATGTGGTTGGTGCCGAACTCGATCTCGTAGCCGTCCTTGGTAAGACCCGGCGGCACGGCCATAACCCCGGCGTTGAGCATGAGGATATCCAGGCGGTCGGATTCCGTGAGAACCGTTTGGGCGGCTTTGCGGATCGAGTCGAAGGAGGCTAGATCCAGTTCCAGGAATCGGACCGGCACGTTCGGAACAATCTGTCGCATTTCGTCGGCTGCTGCCTGGCCGCGCTCGGGGTTCCGCGCCGCCAACCAGATCTGCCGGGGATTGTGTCTCGCAAACTGCACGATACATTGCTTGCCGAGACCGACGTTTCCCCCGGTCACCAAGATAACCTTGCCGGCAAGCGATGGAATATCACTCGCTGGATTGAAGGGCACAGACTTGTTGCAGCCGAAAAGCATGTTGATCGCCTAACTCGGATCTTGCGAGTACATAGATAATGACGCAGATCATGGACACACAAAGACGATGGCATACAGCTCGGGGATAGAGTATATATATCAATTCAGATAAATATGTTTAAAGGCCGACTGTTCGACAGTAAGAATGGAGATAAGGACTCATAGTGGGTCCGCTGCCTATTCCAGCGAAACCCCTAGTCATGCTGTAAGCAGCAAGCAAATCATCCGTGTAAGCCAGCGGAGTTAGGATTTAAGATCAAGCCTTACCGCCAGCTTCTTAATTCCGGCATGGCGCTGTAAAGGAAGTAGGTGATCAGATTCTGTAATATCATAGGTAAGTTGACACTATAACGACAGTTTGCTCTGAAGAGAAGTGGAGTCAAGGGTCTTCAGTAAGCTGGAATACTAAGTGCTCTCACCGCAGCGGTAAGAGTAAGCACTTAATAAAGAGGTATCTGCTAATCTTACAAATTTAAGGTACTATCTTAATAGTAGAAAAGGTAAGATGCTCCTGTCTGTGACCCCCGGCGGGGAACTTGTTTTATTACCTGAAATAGAGCCGCAGTGGGCTTCCGTTAAGAATGGCCTTCCCTACTGGACTTCTCTTTACCAGGTTCTGTCAACATCAACTACAATCCCGGAGTCAGGGTAACAGCAGTTGAGGGTCATCCATGAGACCTTGGTTAACATAATTGGTGGCCGGACAAGTCAGCAAGCCAGCTGTGTTTTCCAAATGCGGACCTCAATCTGAGATATCATCATATGTGAACGGTTTATCTGATCATGGGTCCTGCATTAGGATATAAATTAGAATGCCATCTTAAAAAGGTTTCCATGAGAAGTAGTATTTACCTATTTTTGTATACCCCTTGACACATCTCATCTTCCACAGCTACTCGATTTCGCTATCATACCCTGTAAGTTGAATGCGCAGCCTCTTTAATAAAACAATTATACTATTGTCTTAGCAGCAAGGCTTAGAAGCAAAGACAATGTATTGGTCGGTCAAGACGATTTCGAGATTTTGTATCATCTATCGATGCTGAATTTGATCCCTACCTCATATTTGATCGAAGGTTTGTCCAAGAATCAATAAGCTGGAGCTGGGGCTCACATGCGCGGCACCTACTGGATATTCTCTTGCCATTCCATCCCAGCCACAGGACAAAATCCCGGGCAAGACAATGTGCGTTGGGACATTTGCTATAAGTGAGTCTGACTCTTTTTGAGTCTTGACTGATATTCCATTCAATCACGGAACGTTCCAATAATCAGGCGATAATCTAGCGCAAGGAAGGTATCATCTACAGGCTAAAGTAGACAGAGTGCGAGCGAGATCAACCGCAGATCCCTGATCCTCATCGACGTGGAGAGAAAGTAAGAAGCATAACGAGACATTTTCTATTCTAGCGTCTATCGTTTTGAAAGTCTATAAACAGTTCGTAACCCAAGTACAGTTCATAAAGTGCATCAAGGCCTGCCCCGCGGGCCGTCGTCTCACGCACAGGTCAAGCAAGACCTGCCGCGAGTATCCCAAATGTGGCTCCCGCCGGACGGCATCTCTAGGACGCTCGGTCCGGGCGGGGAAAGCCCCTATGTACTCCCATCAGAGTGGTTGTGTGGGCTTAGCCCAAAGTGAGAGTAATGCCCGACGAAGTCGTGCAGCTGTTGGTATCGGTATCATCGGGCTGCTGGTACGAGGCGGAGCAATCCGAGTCGCCGGCGGAGCAGGTAACGGAGGTGCAGCTCGAGTCCGAGGGACTGGCGGAGAAGCCCGCGGTCACGAAGGCGGAGTCCTTGTCCAGGTTGATGGACGACAGGTCCCAGTAGAGGGTGTCACCATCAGTGGTGTACTCGAACTGCAGGACGCTGCTTTCGTCCGTGGTGGTGGACAGCTTGATGGAGATGCCGCCGTCGGAGGTGGTCTGCCAGTCCTCGGAGTAGCTGCCGCCACCGGACGACAGGGACTGCATGCTGCTGGAGCCGGTGGTGGTGGCGGTGGACCAGAGGTAGACAGTGCTGTTCATGTTGTTGACGATAGAGACACTGCCCCCGCCGCTGGAGGAAGAAGAGGAGCTGGCGCTAGCGCTGCTGCTGCTCGAGGTGGCGGTTGCGGAGCTGGTGGTGCTCGACTGCAACGGCTGGGGAAGCGCGGAGGCCGCGAGAGCGAAGGTAGCAGCAAGAGAAAGCTTGGTGAACATCATTGTGAAAGATTGATGTGTTTTTTTGTGGTTGGATAGAGACCGATTGCGGAAGGAGGTAATGTGATGGAGAGAATGTAGTTCTGATCTACAGACAAACAGAAATTTGACACGAAAGGAATGCACGAGGATCAACCTCAGTAGCGAAAGTAGAGTAGATTGGTAAAGAACCTTCAAAGGAGAGGATGGTTGTGAGAGAGCAGAAAGCAATGCCACGAAGGGCAGCTTTATACCTATCTCATGGTGGAGACCGGAAACGAAGGCGGCTGCGTCAGCCGCGATGTGTCAGCTGCCTCCAAAGGCGACATGTAAAACAAAAGTGTGGAACGTGTCAAACTTTGAAGCCAGGCACAAAATTCTAAGATTCTAGATCTTGACACCCACGGTTGCCTGGTTCAGCGGCGAATCATGGCGGGGGTTTTGTGCAAGGTACACCAGGAACCATACGTTTGTTCCTGATGCCCTGGAGTCAAAAAGCAAAAAAAACCCCGCAGGCGGGGCTTGGAACGGGGACCGGTGGACCACAGACTGGCGTATGCTGCCGTCTGGTTAGTGGTTCTAGACTCTCCATCGGTTCATCCAGACATTACGACAGCATTTGCCACCAACCCCAATGACGTTCTCTGGAACAGAGCCACCGCATCAGCAAGGATTTTCCTGGGACTCGGGGCACTTGTTCTCTCCGGAGTAGACTCGGTTTTCTGCCGGGGTAGGTCTGGCGAGCGTGTGAGTCACGTGATGCCCCCATCTATTCGATCTTTTACCGCCTTTTTGTTTAGCCGAGGCTCTGCCGCACCGTGGGAGGAGAACAAACCAAACAAACAAAGCCAAGCGCCACCCGCGCCCCAATCCACCGCCTTCCTAACCACTCTTACTCTTTCGTAGACATTGCCCGGCATGGTCAGGCCACGCCGCCACCACCACCAGTGCCACCACCCGCTGGGCAGCTGGCACAATTTCGCGAGCAGAATGGGTGGGTTGACAACTGGGCCCAACCACGGTGTTACTCACGGAGTGCCAGGCGCAGGAGGTGCAACCACTTTCCAAGAACTGCAATGGCAGTTAAGTTACAACTTACCTAGTACTCGTGAACCCCTCACCTAAAGTACTTGCAAGTATGTATATCTGCCATTCTTTATTTCATATACAAGCAAATGTCAGGTACTGTTCATGTAAGGAATCTCAATTGACCCGGCGGCACGCCCCGTCTTGCCGCGGCATAAGGCTCGGAATGCGGATATCAAGAAGGTGCTAAATACTCTTATCAGTTCTGTCCCCGCCAAAAGTATCTGAATGCTTAGATCTTGTGCCGAAATATGCTCAACTTCATATGCCTTGCAAAGGTCTGCAAGTCGTCACATTGAACACGTTTCTCACAAAGACCCAAGGCGACAGAGAGTCTCATGTAACAGTCTGGTATCCCGATTTCTTGATCCAAGATGGTAGCGAAAGACGACGGGAATTAGATCAAGGCCCGTGCCATGCGGTCATACATGAGTAATTTTCGAGTAGTAGCAATCGACCCATCTGTCGGCCGAGACACTCATACTCAGCGACCCAACTGCGTGGAACCAGAACCCCATGTGTACTCATGCGGGTCTTTAGTTGCAGCCCAAGAACGCCTGTCATTTACCCAGTATGTTCTTTGATCCGATGAACAAGTTTGTCAAAGGCCTGTAATCGCGGTGACCCCAGGAAGGTATATGAAGAGGACGATCGGGATACATCCGGGGGCAGTCTCCCTGCTTCCAGCAGGCCACCCTCCCTTGGCGACCCCCTCCGCGGCACGGGCGTGGATACCCTCCCCGCCGATCATCCCGGCCTCCGCAGACATCAACCCCACCGGGTACGACACGGTCGCATTCGAGTCTTATCGCACCTTCTGCCAGCTCTGAGACCAAGACATCATCCCGCAAAGGGTCCGCTTCCAGGTCTCGCTGGCCCTGCCCTTGAATTGCGTGATTGGCCATAATTTGACCAGAGTTCCATACGCAGCCAGACCCCCTCCACGAGCAGTGCGCATGGTCGAGGCCATACAGTCCATTGTACGAGTACAGCAAGTCCCCGCCGCCGATATCGCGCTGCGGTGGGATTCCTGCTTCGAGACCACCGCCATGGAGTACGAGCGGGGCCGGCTTCCGGATTCCTCCCTCCGCGCCCACATCTTCCCGGTCATGGACAGTATCCTGGAGCGGACACGGCGGCTCTGCGCCTTAGTCCCTGCGGAAGTTCCCCTGGGAATCTATCTCCGCTACGCGGACTGTCAGCACGTGCACTTTGTCGAGGTGGAGGCGGGCAAGGATACAAGGCTCTATCTTGGGGTGGTGCATTGTCAACCACGCGGAAGCGAGGCGCAGAAGAATCAATGCGGCCCAGTCAGTCGTGATGGACTTGTGGGGTGGGGAGTGAGTGTGGCTTGGGGAGAATTCCCAGAGATGAGCGGGAGGGTATTCAGCATATTTCAAAGGATTTGTTCGTGCTATTGTGGGGGTGAGATGTATCATATCTAGTGATGCGATCCGGAGGCTCTGATTCCGCCATGCTAGAGGTTGCTCTTTTCAAGCTCTGGGATGAATGAGTGGGATACATGGAGCTCGGTTAGAGCATGCTAAGGTTTGCCTTGTTTGTGTTGTTGGAAGATCAGAAGAGAAAAGAAAGGAGATAGCTTGGAATCAATATGACCACTGCATTTCAGAAAGAGGCCTTATTGTGCTTCAAGTCTCCGCCTCGGACCGTAAGCCAAAAGCCAAGAAGGACAGGCTGCCTTGGCGTGTCGCCGGGCAACCGTCGTGCCGACCCGTAAACAAATCGGCGGGGACTCTACCCACTCACACTACTTAGTGCTCTACGATGTTCTTCGGGGGGAGCTGCTGATCATTCTCCGGATGATGATAGGCTAATTCCGGCTACGACGCTTGCTCGGGCATCTGGTTATCCCAGTATGTTTTTCATCTTCATCCCGCCCTTCAAGCTCCACACTGAAAGGGCATGGCTTACTCTCTTTCTCCCTGTGGCAGGTCATGATTCTCTCCTTTATGGGAAAGTCTGCACGGGCGATCGAGGCATACTTCGACGACGAACGCCTCATCCTGGGCTGCACCGATCTCTATAGTACCCGCCACCAGACTGCGACGGCGTTGAAGGATCTCGGAGGGTTGTACCTCGGTACTCCCATTGGGAATACCGCCTATAGGCTGGCGGTGCTTCCGGTTGGTTTGCGGCGTTAATGGTCAGTTGGGTAGTATGGTCTCCGGAGTTCTGGCATTCATGCAGGTTTGGATTCAATTATGGGCACCGGAGAGTTTACTTACGTGCGATACCCCTTCTTCTTCAGGATATCATTCCTGTCGCGCTTCTCACCCGACGCTTGTCGTGGCGCCCTGGCTTGAGATTATAGGCGTCAGACAGACAGTTCCTGCGGATCGACCCTTATGGTTGCGAATCAGTAGTTCCTTCCTTCCTTCCACCTGAAATTTCGATAATCCATCTCAAACATAATATCGCATGAGCTTTCGCGGCGAGAAAGGACGTGGGGAATCATGGGTAATTGCTGTCGAGCCGAACCCTACTCTGTTTAAGTCAATCATTAGCACCTGGTGACCATCACTTGCCAAAGCAGCCCCTACGACCCGTAGCATTTCTGGGGAGTTTTGATCCTGATGCATGGAAGAGGAATGTTTACCTTGCGACCTCCGACAACCCCTTCCCCCTCGTAGCGACCGAGACAGGTCGAATCTCAAACCGCTGGACCTCCGCAGCGACCAACGACGCGGTAAGCTTCCTGGACGCCTCCTCCACTCGGCCATAGAGGATCTCCCCACAGAGCCACTCGCCTTCCCCCTCCCCACTCCACTCAAACTCCCCGCCTTCCGCCCTATACGCGAGAAACCTCCCCTCCGGCAGAATCTCACACCCATCCTCCGCAGATTTCAGATCCGGCGGATTGAGAACGATGTAGGCCCGCTCCAGCCGCGGGAAGCACCACCAGATCCTCTCCAGCGCGCGGGGCTCCAAGTGAAGCGACATGCTGGATATGGCGATGCGGGGGTGACCCTCCCCGTTGTCACGGATAACCATCCGCTCTCTGGGCAGCTGCTCCACACGTCGGTCGAGCGGGTCGATGCAAAAGCGGGCGAGTTGCGTCGCGTGGAGGTAGAGAGTGTCATGGTCCGGGTCGAAGTGGTGGGTGACGACGTGCGACCCGGTCCCGATGTCTGGGCGGAAGTGAATCTGGAGGCCGAGTTTGCGGGCCCACGAGCGCGCCGTGCCATTTGCCTCCTTGTTGACCAACAGATGGGGTAGTGGTGCGCTTACTGAGTCCATGCGCGCGGAAAGGTAATCGTCATGGCCCCAAACTCACCTTCGTTGTACGGAAATAGTACTCCTGGCCGGACTTGGTCGGGGAGGGTGAGGTGCCAGATGTAGTGGCGGAGCTCGGGGGGGAGTTGGGGGAATTGCGCGAATGTCATGATTTCTGCTGGTGGGCGGGAGATATTCTTGAAGGTGGTGGTCGATATGGGATACTCATACGTTAGGTGCTTCGATTCAGCCGGAAATTTGAGAGGTCGCTCGGCGGTATTTATATTGATTTCTCGAGGATCGTAAGCAGGCTTATCTGATTCAGGGATAGTCTGTCTGAGTGACTCTTTGAGCAAGGTATTTTCTCTCTCTAAGCCTGACTTCAGTCAAATTTTGGAACACCTAGGCTGCGATGGTTTGTACATAGATTGCAAAGTAAGAGGCCTTGTACTTTCCAGCTAAGGAGCCCTGCCGCCACTCGGCCACCGCAAGCTAGGCTTTGTCGCTCTGGTTCACAATTCAAAGCTTGGCTAGTAGACCTGAGCCCCTCTTCCCAGTCTATTCCAACCAATGCAAGCTTTATTGAGCCATTCAGATCAAGCCATTCCAAAATCTGATTGAGCATGTGAACCTTGACAAGCACATCGCCTGCAGGTTCAGGTCTTGGCACTACGGTGGTGTTCGATTCTCGGTGTTGACAGAATCATTAGCAGCTACTGAATTCCTCTATCCGACATGTCATAGCTGCCATAGTGCTAGGGTAATATTGGAATTTAGAGTAAGGTGATATTGGGATCTGGTATGGATGCATTATTCACCTTTTACGTGTTTGTGGAGCGCCTGAGGCGTCTGCCTTAGCCGGAGGTTCATTCAGGATATATACTCACCCCGCTGGCGATCGACAACACCCAAAAAGCGCCTATATTCATTTGCGCATTCTTCGGGGCTCAAGCAAGTCAATGAACACACCATATATATAGAATTTCCCGGATTATTGCTGGAAGTGATATTACTCCGCAAGCAGAAAGCCAAATGCTGATAGATGACGCATGAATAGGCTCTTTATGCATGCTGACTAAGCTATGCGCAAGGACATGGCCACCCACAAGCCCGATCGAGGACGAGCCATATCTAGGATATTATTTTAGAAAGGACTTTTGGGGTCCGTGGTTTTCTTACGTCTTACGAAGGTAGCCATACTGGTGTATGCAGACAGCGGACTCAATTGCGACGATAGCTGGCGACGACGTGGCTTGAGTACAGGAGAAACCTCAGCTGGACCAGCAATAAGATATCAAATGGAGCATGCCTCAAATGATCCAGCGCGTTCTGGTGACAGTCTCGACCCCGAGCTCGCCACGACAGACCGGTTGTTCCGCCAGAACTGCAGTGTCACCAAGACTCTCCAGAAGTCTCGGCCAACTTCCGACGCCCATTTCCGCATTCCTGAGAAATTCCGCCGCCTAACCACCGCCTTGGCCCGCGCACCGAAAACTGCTGCCTAAGTCGTGACTCCGTAGCGAGGGCGCGAAGCCAAGCGACAAGGTGAAAAAATTGAACCGCACAATCAAAGTCTCATAATAATTACTGCTCAATATTATACAAGCGACGATATCACATATCCACGACCCTGAATCATTATCATTCAAATGATATACGCCGAAGTTGCGCCCGTGCCCCCAAGAAACCGTACAAATGTCCCGACCGACGCATGAAGAACAAATCAATAGAACGATGATCTATTTGTTGGCCAAGATGTAGCTGTGAGGTGTGTTAGCTGGAGAATTCTTCTTCAGCGAAAAAGTAGAAGTGTGAACATACTAGGCGTGGATGACACCAGGAATCCAACCCAGGATGCAGAGACAGATGTTGATGAGCAGATCGCAGCTGCAGCCGGTGCGCATGAAGACACCGACGAAGGGGAGGAAAAAGGCGATGATGATTTCGCAGCAACCGCTGTGTGAAGGGCGTTAGCTTGACGATCTTTATTTCAGTGGGGATGTGACGGGGAGGGCGGCATGGGGACATACACTGCGTTGGCCATTGTGAGTGTTTGGAAATTTGGTTGATAAAGTGGCTGTTTTGGTTTGGATAAGGTATGGTGTCAAAGACCAGGTCTGTTTGTTAGAGGTGTAGAAGTTGGAGCTTGAGGAAGAGGAAGAGTGGAGGAGAAAGTGGTGTGGTTCAGGAGTTTAAAAGGACTTTGGGGGAGAGAGAGAATCGATGACATCAGGCGCGGGTGCATCATAGGGCTGAAAATGGAGCGAGTGTCCGCAACTCTCTCCAACAAATCAACGCTCACCACCAAAATGCTGCCATGGCCCAGGGGGAATTCCTGATAGCCTACCTAGTACCTAGTACCTAACCTTAGAATGATTATGACACAACCAATGACGATCTTGCTTGGGAGTCTCTGGGAGAATCTGCCTTTTTTTTGCATAGGGCTGCACTCCAATTCGCAGTCAAGAGTGCCAAGGCAACGGCCCGGGCTGGATTGAGTGGCTGAAATGATGTAATCTTCCCACCTGCGATGCGGTGCCTGGCCCGAGGCCATTTCCACCATTATTACATTTGGCTCAGGCGATCAACAGAGTCTATCCAGAAATTAAGTGCACAGAGGACAGATGATGTTGATTACACCTGTTTGTGATCATCTGATGGAAATTAGGCACTCTGTTTGACCTCCAGTTCTTGCGTGTTGTTTGTTCACATCACAAGCAGTGGAAGCCATCAGTTTATTGTTCGCAAAGAACACTGCACCCCAACATTATGCCATTTTTGGACCTGATTTCATGGCCTTCAGGCGCCGATGTTGCTGCCTCCGAGTTTGGTTTCTAACACAGAGCTGGCTGCGCTGCACCTTTGTGAAGGTGGATAGGCAGCGGCCAGCGGTGAATTGCTCAGAATGTCTGGACAGACTAGTAACACACCCAAAATGACAGGTGAAGAAGTGAATGTGTGATGATGGACGTGTGAGCGTGACCCGCCTACTTCTGAAAGAAACCTTTCCTCTACTTCGCACCGGATGGAATTTGTCGTTTCCTCTTTCCCACCACCATGACAGAGTGTGTTCATCAACCGGTTCAACTTGTGTCTTCGAGAAGAAAGGAACAAACATACAGCTCAAGATGCAAGGCACACACATACTCAACCTCGCGCGGGTATTCATCCTCAGCCTGGTGTTGACGTGCCCCTGCTTCAAAGCGAGCGCGATCGACCTCAACATCGACGATCCTTGTGGGTACTCGGAAAGCTTCATCAAGACGACTCATTTGTTGCCACGCGACTGACTCTGCAAACCATCCCAGCAAACATCAAACACGTCGCGCGCCAGATCGCCTGGGATCTTGTGAGCTTTTACAGCGGCAACCACACCGGCGACGTCCCTGGCAACCTCCCCGATCCGTACTACTGGTGGGAAGCGGGCGCGTTCTTCGGCACGCTGGTCAACTATTGGACCTACACCGGCGACGACACCTACAATGCGATCACCATGCAAGCCATCCTGCACCAGGCCGGGGAGAAACGCGACTTCATGCCCACCAACCAGACCCGCACCGAGGGGAACGACGTTCTGGGCGTTCACAGCGCTGCAGGCTGCAGAAAACAACTACCCCAACCCTCCCAACGATCAACCCTCGTGGCTGGCGCTAGCGCAGGCGGTCTTCAACCAGCAGGCCGCGCGCTGGGACCCTACCAAATGCGGCGGAGGCTTGAAGTGGCAGATCTACGCCTTCAACAGTGGCTACACCTACCGCAACGCGATCTCAAACGGATGCTTCTTCAGCATCGCCGCCCGACTGGCACGGTACACCGGAAACAGCACCTATGCGGACTGGGCCAACAAGGCATGGGACTGGTCCTCGGGGGTTGGACTGATCGGGCCCCACTTTGAGGTCTACGACGGTACCAGCGAAGGGAACAACTGTTCGGATCTCAATCATGTGGAGTGGACGTACAATAACGGAGTCTTCCTGCTTGGGGCGGCGCATATGTGGAACTACGTACGTTGTGATTTTTCCTCTCCCTCTAATTCTTTTATCTCTCTGTCCTTGGCTGTTCACAGATGCCAAGAATCATATGACTTTTACTCACTACTCCTCATCTTGCAGACTAACGGCGATGAGACCTGGCGACACCGGATCATGGGGCTGCTGGAGGCCCAGGATATCTTCCTCTCCGACAACGAGACAGCGCAGAACGTGTTCTACGAGTCCGCGTGCGAGAACTGGGACACCTGTCAGGTGGATCAATTCTCCTTCAAGGCGTATCTGTTCCGCTGGATGGCCGACACGGTCAAACTGGCGCCCTTCACCCACGATCTCATCCTGGGCCGTGTCCGACCGACCGCGCGGGCGGCGGCCGCCCAATGCGTGGGAGGCGCGACCGGGACGTACTGTGGAATGAAGTGGACAACGGGGGTCTACGATGGGACCAAAGGGGTGGGACAGCAGATGTCGGCGCTGGAGGCGATCCAGACCCTGCTCGTCGAGTCGGTGGCGGGGCCCCTTACCCACCAGACGGGGGGCTCCAGCAAGGGGGATGGGGCGGCGGGCACCACAACCTCGGATAAGGCCAGGGACCCCAGTGCGCTCAGACCCATCACTGCCGCCGACCGGGTGGGCGCCGCGGTCTTGACCGGGGTCGTGAGCGCTTTGGTGCTGGGCACCACGTTTCTCATGAGGCCTTGACGATGGTCTATACTCGAGAAGTACGTGGTTGATCAATTTGAATTGTTGTATTGAGAGACTTCGCTTGCGCGGTCTTCCATTAGCCGTGTTTCTGCCCACACTGTTATCAGTCAACCTTGAGACTTTGTTCTATCACAAAAAGATTGCTATTTCGCTTATGCACACGATGGGAAGATGTCGAAAAATACTCCATCCAGATGTTCCGAACAGAGCCAAATTACCCAAATAGGCTATTATCGAGAGAAACCGGGGTCGATAGTATACTCGTAGTTTGCATAACGGGGAGTGACAGGGTGGGGCAACTTGGACTCTAAGATCCAACCAACATGCAACCATTTCGAACAGAAGGTCTTCTGGATTCCACCCTCAATGCCAAGTCCACAGTATTTGACACGACTTCTTACCGACTTTTGGAACTCGCCCATCAGGCGAGTCTGGAAGCTGACATAAGCGGAGATCGATCCCTTATCTTGAACTAGTCCTGATGTGGCCAAAGATACGCCGAGTCGGTCCACCGAACCAATCAGAAGACAGCTCTGGAAGGGAGGCAAATGCCGGGATCGGGATTGCTGATAATCTGCAGTGTCTGGAGACTCTCTGTGAAACAAAGAGGCGGGGAGAGATACGGTCTATCCTACTACTTAAATCGTCCATCTCGCTGCTTTCGTATTCCTCAATTGCCCTTCATTTGTTTGATTCAGACGCGAAGCAGAGGATTCTTCAGTTGCAATCCAGCAGACACAATGACAGCCTCCGGTCCACACCCTTTTGACCCTATCAGACCGGCGGAAATCGTCCTTGCCACCAAGTTGGTAGAGGCTGCTTTCCCTGGCGTCAAGCTCCGGTACAAGAAGATTGATATCCAGGAGCCAATCAAGAGCGAGGTCGTTCCATATATCGAGGCAGAGCGTCTGGGAAAGCCATTGCCTCCCAAGCCGACGCGGTTGCTGCAGGTCCTCTTCCACCGCTTGGACACCGGTGCTTTTCTGAAAGCCCTGTTGAACGCGGGCACCCGCTCCATCGTCTTTGCCAAGGAATTGCCCAAGGATGTCCAGGTATGTTTCCGGTGTTACACATCCCGTTGTCGCCTGTCTCTCGCTGCTGACTGACCTCCTCGCCCCAGGCCCCTGTGGACGCCGACGAGCTGGAGGAGATCGAGCGATTGTGCTTGAATCACCCCGCGGTACAGGCGGAGGTGGCCAAGCTGCAGCTCCCCGCCGGCGTGACGGTCTGCAACGATCCCTGGATCTATGGGAGGGACGACCCCAACGAAACCCGCCGGCTGTTCCAGTGTTACATGTACATCGTGGCCACGAACCACCCGCAGAACAACCACTACTCCACCCCTTGCAAGTTCTCTCCGGTGTTCGATGGCATCACCCACGAGCTGGTCCGGATCGACTTCCTGCCTGGTGGCGTCGATGCGACAACCACCGAGACGCAACCGTGGAAGCCCGTGCAAACCATCCAGTATGCGCACGAGCTGCTGGATGAGCCCGTGCGGACGGACCTGAAGCCATACATCGTGCAACAGCCTGAGGGGCCGTCGTTCACTGTCCAGGGGAATGTGGTGTCGTGGCAGAAGTGGCGGTTCCGCGTGGGGTTCAACAGCCGCGAGGGCTTGGTCGTCTACAACACCACCTACGATGGACGCAACCTTTTTTACCGACTGTCCGTGTCGGAGATGACCGTTCCTTACGGAGGTAAGTCTTGCTTCCAGCTGAGACATGCAGCTGTCACTCCCAATCCCAGAATCGTCAATACCGCGACTGAGACAAGAAACTGACCCGCACCCCAGACCCGCGCGCCCCCTACCACCGCAAACAAGCGTTCGACGTGGGCGACGTCGGCTTCGGCATCACGGCGAACCAGCTCTCCCTGGGCTGCGACTGCCTCGGGCACATCAAGTACTTCGACGGGTACCGGGCGGACTCGAAAGGCCAGCCCCTCCTCCTGAAGAACGTGATCTGCCTGCACGAGCAGGACAACGGGCTGCAGCACAAACACACCAACTACCGGACGAACGCGGCGACGGTGGTGCGCAACCGGCAGCTGGTGGTCCAGATGATCTGCACGGTGGCCAACTACGAGTACATCTTCGCGTTCATCTTCGACCAGGCGGCCAACATCGAGCTGGAGGTGCGCGCGACGGGGATCCTGTCGACGGTGCCGTTCGACAACGCGGCGCCCGGCACGACGGTGCCGTGGGGCACCAACGTGGGGCCCGGAGTGATGGCGCCCTTCCACCAGCACCTGTTCTCCTTCCGCATCGACCCGGCGCTCGACGGCTTCGCCAACACGGTCTACTACGAGGACAGCGTGCCGCTCCCGGAGGACGCGAGCAACCCGTGGCGGGTGGGCTACACGACCGAGCCGACGGTGCTGCGGCGCAGCGGCACCGCCGAGACGGACGTCGCGCGCCACCGCGTGTTCAAGATCCGCAACGACGCGCGCGTCAACCCCATCACCTACAAGCCCGTCGCCTACAAGCTGCAGACCTCGCCGAGCCAGATGCTCCTGGCCAGCCCCGAGTCGTACGGCGTCAAGCGCGCCCGCTTCGGCACCAAGCCCATCTGGGTGACGCGGTACCGCGACGACGAGCTGTACGCGGCCGGCGAGTTCACGAACCAGAGCGCCGACTCCCAGGGCGTGGACAAGTGGGTGCAGCGCAACGAGGTGGTGGAGAATGAGGATCTGGTGCTGTGGCATAGTGAGTAACCCGGGCACATGCGGCCTTGCCCCCCCCAGCGAAAACAACCTCCCCTCTGGTTGGATTGTGATAAAGTTTTGCAAACTAACCGATGGAACAGCCTTCGGCCTCACGCATAACCCCCGCATCGAAGATTTCCCCGTCATGCCCATGGAGCGCGTCAGCGTCATGCTGCGCCCGGACGGCTTCTTCACCAAGAACCCCGCGCTGGACGTGCCGGCCTCGAACCAGATCTTCAACCAGTCGACGCTGCACCCGGAGCCCGTGGCGTGCTGTGCGCCCACCGAGCGGCAGGGCAAGTTGTAGTTCTAGATTGTTTCGTCCGATAGATAGATAGATTCACTACTGGATGGTCTCACGATTAATGACACTGCTTGGTACTTCTCTCGAATACATATGTACCTCAATCATCATCCGGAATATACATGTAGACTTAGTAATCTTTACCGACGCTAGATACCAATGGAAATCTTGCATGACCGGGTATACTATACCCAGAACGAGGCGAGGGGAGCATGATCCATTACTACCGTAGGTACAGTACCTACTCGCCACCAGTAGTTACCAGTAGTCACAGTCACAACCCGCCAGCATTTCCACCACCATCTCGCAGTACCTACGAGTTATCTAAACGCCGTTGGAAATACAGTACCACGATAAGACCCATCCCCCAAAATCAGGTTCAACGTACATCCCGACCCCGACCGACCCACCGACCTCGCCGACCACGATAAAACCAAAACCAAAACTAAACCCCGGCAGAATCGCCGACCAGCCCCAACATGACTAAGCAGCGCCGTACGCCATAAAATCCCCCACTTTTCTGCTGGTTCATCCACCGCTCACCACCAACCCAAACCTCCAAAACATATCCTTTCATAGCAAAAGACCCTACATCTACCACCGTCATCATGTGCATGAAGGCCACCTGCTCTACTTGCCGTATGCTCCCATGACATTCACCATGCACGAAAGAAGAAACTGACCAAGACAGAAAAAACCTCCTGGTGGGGCTGCGGCGCGCACATCCCCTCGGTCATGGATGCCATCCCCGAGAGTGAGCGGTGCACTTGCGCGCCCAAGGTCGAGCGGGAGGGCAAGTCCTACCCGCCCAAGGCGGCGCGGTGACTCCCTGGGTGTGTTGTTGTTTAGGTAGGGAAAGAGGGTGATGGGATGGTGGCGTTGGGGTGTTTGCGGGAGTTGGGCAATGTGGGAGGGATTCTGATGAAGGTGACGATACGTTATACATGTACTGTACGCATGTGTTGAATGATGTGGAGATATGAGCGTATCTCATTGGAAATAAAACACCGTACAACATCAAATAGACCGTCCATCATTCATCCAAGAAAACGCATCTTGCACGATACCCAGTCTCAACACATCCACCACCTCTCAAACCCGACAAACGATACACATCAATCAAGCGACAGCCGCATCTTGAACGCTCCCCGACTCACTCATATACACCTTCTCCACTCCCCTATCTCCAGACCGCCTGAGCACCTCCCTCCCATCCTCCCCAAACCCCTCTACCATCGAACTGGTACCCCCCCGCTCCGGAATCCCCTCCAAATCCCCGGCATACCTCGCCACCGCAAACGCTGCCGCCCGCGCATTCATCAGAAAAGCTTCCTGATCCAAGTTCGCCACCGTATCTCCAGCCCCATGATAATGAGGATCATACGCCACCCCGACCCGACCCCCAAACAACTCCGCGTCCCGCTGCGTCTTGACCCCGTCGGCCCCGGTGAACAGCCCTCCCGCAGGGATACCTTTTCGGATGAATGCCCGATAATCCGAGCGCCCGTTGAATGGGGTCGCGCGATAGGACACATTCCGCCGCTCGAAGTACTCCTGAAACGTGTGCTGGATGTGGTCCGACCCCGGCGGGCCGGAGACATTGTACCGGGAGCCATCACCATCGTAGATCATGTACGCGTAGTTTGGGGAGGCGATCATATCGAGGTTCAAATACAGGCGGATGTGCGTGAGGTTGGCGGGCGACGAATTATTGATGTAGTAGGTGCTGCCCAAGAGCCCGAACTCCTCGGCTGTGAAGAAGAGGAAGCGTACTGCGTTACGGATCAAGGGTCGAGATGACGACAAGGCAAGAGCGCGGGCGATCGCTAGACAGCCGATGGTGCCGGAGCCGTTGTCGTTGATGCCGGGGCCGGCGTCCACGGAGTCGGTGTGGCTGCCTACCGTGATCACGTTGCTTGCGTTGCCGGCTTTGGTCTGCGCGATCAGGTTGTAGGTCAGGCGTGGGGCGGATTGGGTGTGGATGTAGAGGGTTAACCGTGGGGATGGAATGGGGGTTGTTGTGTTGGAGGAGGTGGCGTTGGGCGTGATGCTGCGCAGGAGGCGCTGACCATCGAGGAGGCTGATTCCCACGGTTGGGGCAAAGGGGGTCGTGGTATTAGGGCTGCCCAAGGAGCCGTGCAGCGGGCCGGCGACGTTGTTGTAGATTATGAGGCCTGCGGCGTTGGCGGCCGCGGCCAGGCTGGATTTGTGGCCGAAGGCACAGCCGCCCCGGCGCGTGAGGAGGATCTTTCCCACTGCGGAAGCATTGTAGTCTTCAGCGCTGCAGCCGAGTTGGGGGACGAGGGCCAGTTCGGCGGTGACGTTCGTGCTTGGGCTGTGGGTCATGCTATACGCGATGAGAGACTGGCCCTCAGCTGTGGTCACCGATTGATTGTGTTTCGTCCAGGTATGGATTTGGGGCTGTCGGTGGAGGTCGTAGGCGCCCGTCGCGTTGAGCTCGCGGTAGATGTAGTCCAGCGTGACATTGTGGGCGGCGCCACCGAAGACTCGATTGCGTTGCGGGTAGGCATAGGCGAAGTCTTGGAGTTTCTGCGTGCCTTCGAGGAGATCGGATAGAGTGATTTGTGATGCGAATGTTTCCTAGGCGGAAAGGCTGTGTGTTAGCCATTCTCGGGATGTGAACCACCAGGAGAGAGGGGCATACAGGAGAGACAGAGGCTCTCTTGGTTGCAAGAGCTGTACTGAATGGAACATATAACATTAGAGTGAATGTCTTCATAGTAATAGTAATAAGAATAGAAAGAGTGTCTTAGGAAGTGCGGTGATGTAAGAATAGAGTGTTGGTCAGCAGTTGAATTCAGCTCGAACGTCCTGGGGCTTGGGATGACTTTTATGGTACCCTCCATCGCAGTTGCCAATCAACCCACCGCCACTGCCAATCTGGGTGAAGTGGTGCTTTCCACCTGGTTACGCAATTCTGTCAGAGTGGTATTGTGCAACACTTGGCCAGGGACAAGTCTAACAGACAGCGGCGGGAGTCCCAGCTCAGGTCACACTGCTCGGATAGTATGGTGGGAGCAACCTTCGTCCTGCCAGCAGTTTGGCAGATCATCATTGACCTTAGCCCCTTGTACTCGAGGAGGTATAACTCTCTAGAATCATATTCATAGTGAGGATGCACTTCGACTACTTCTCTTGCCGCTGAAGTAGAATCGGTAGATGGGAGTATGCCAAGCCCCGTTGATCGATGCCTCCACGAGGCACGTTCATAAGCCCACATTATGGTGTAGTTGCTTGCCAAATAATGTGGCCGCAGGCCATACTCCCATACACGCACGGAGTGTACAAAGATGAAGCGACAGCTTACATCATCAAGTTATCATACCATACTGTTTGACATGGCTCTCTGCGTCCAGCTCACGAGTCCAAAGGAGACAGTACTAATCATGGGAAGGTGCATTGAGGGTTCAGGGTACACAAGGGGCAGCACGCGGAGCCCTACCCGTGGGGAGCGAAGAACCAGTTGAACTGTGGCCCAATTTTAGAGCCAGCCTTTTCCAATACAGCCTACGCTACAATCAGAAGTGGTATGTTAGCTCTGACAGAATTGGAATCACACTGCACACTAAAGTAGGATATGTTCCCCTCTTGGCTTAATGGTTCGAAGCTTTCCACGACTAGAAATATGACTAGTATGACTTAGAGGGTATGGTGCGAGACTTCGATCTCGGGGCAAAAACTTCACCTTATCAGCGAGATCAAGAGCTCCACCTTCGGTACGATGTATGACACGGGGGTATTGTTGAAACTTTTGGCTAAGAGGTTGTGTCAAGCTGATGTCAGTTAATTCTGTCCCACGTGGCTGTAGGCGACCGGCAGCATCTTAGCGCGGACCCTGAAACTACCGTTCGCGCAGGCTGTCATTGTACTTGACCGCAGAAATGCTCAGGAACCTGTTGCTCCTCATTCAAGAATGACCGCTCCAGTGTAGTACTCAACCCTGCCTTCCAAATGCCTTTGAAAATACATGAGTGTACGTGGACTTAGTGTATCGAACCCCGCATGATCCGGATAGTGTGACAGGATGGCTATTTTTAGTACTGATTGGTAAGCCCATCAAACCACATTTGTTTGTGAATTAGGGGGGGGGGGGGTTTGAGGTGAGCTTCTCAGAGTAAGCTCACTTCCAAAGTAGTAAATGGTCTGTTTGAGTGATAAATGGGATCTTGCCTGAATTGATGGTTGCCTGAATCCCAGGCTTCCACAAAACCGTGGTCGGAATGTGCTAGCCCGCAATTATAAATGAACAAAGGAGCGACGATACCTTACCTATCCGACTGGAAAATCGCTAATGAGGGAGAGAACTGAGACCTGCCCATCCAAAAATCATTGAGACCTCCCATCCAAGACCCTTATGCAAAATGACACTCATCAACATATCCATCACCTCAGACCCGGTCTGTCCATGGGTACGTTCCCAGCATCCCTCCCAAGTAATCCCCAACGCCTAAGAAAATCCAAAGTGCTACATCGGCTACCGCCGCCTGACCAAGGCCCTCCGCCTCTACCAGAAGACCTACCCGGGCGGTGGTCAAGATGCCATCCGCATCACCTGGAAACCGTACATTCTGGACGCTAACGCCCCGATGGAGAGCATTCCCTACATGGGTACACTACCCCGTGATACCCTCTCCCCAATCCACAACCGCATACTCATCGACCTCGCAGAACGAATGACCCAGAAGCTCGGCCCGGAGAAGGTCCCCCATGCGCAAGCCCACCTCCAGCGACTGGGCCGCGCCGACGGGATCCACTTCCGCTTCGGCGGGCGGATCGGAAGCACCCTCCCCGCGCACCAGGTTATCATGCTCAGCCAGTTGCAGGATCAGTGGCATACGTCAGAGAGCGCATTGACGGGGTCGGATACTGGTGTCGGTGCGGCGGCGCTCGTGGAGGCGATCTTCGAGGCGCATTTCGAGCGGGAGCAGGATATCACGGATGTTGAGACGTTGGTTCGATTGGCGGGGCAAGCGGGAATGGATGAATGTGTGGCTCGCTCGTGGTTGGATGAAGGGCGCGGCGTGGCGGAGATCCAGCAGGAGGCGCTGAGGGCAAGGGAGGAGGGGATCGTTGGGGTACCGTACTTTCAGTTCGGAGAGGGGGAGCGGATGCGCTCATTGAGCGGGGGGCAGGAGGTTGCGGAGTTTCTGGAGGCCTTGATTGCGCATAAGGAGGGGTTGGAAGCGACAGATGCTTCGAGTGGTGTGCGGGGAGTAGCATGCGCTGGGGATACTTGCTGATGTCCATGGATGGAAGCAAGCTTGAGAGGCATGAAGGATTGTGGGGGCTGTAGTTGGTGCATGTGGAATATGTGTTCATTTTCGATTTGCGTTTAAGCGCGTCTGGACGGATGGGTCGCGGTCTGGATCTGTTCTGATGCAAGAGGTTGCATATGGTTGTTGTCCACACTCTCGGGTCCGAGGACTCTTCTGTTTAAGATGCGATATTAGCCTGCAATTCAGCGCAAGACTCACTCAACCACAGGACTTTCAATTTGAGTTGGATACTTGATATAGATTGCGGCACGAACACCACGATAAGCAGTTTCATTCTGGTCCAACGCCCAGGATTTGTCAGAAGCCAAGTTCACCGGTCCTTCAAGGGGGCGTTGAGGACGGCCGATACTTGTGACGATTAAGGGTAGGGTATTCATGCAGCAGACCCTATCAGGGATGAGCGGCCAGCCCTCCCGCAAAATGACTGGCATAACCTCCCCATGCATTCACCACATTGAAGGATCTGACCGCAACGGTTAAACTCGTCATCTGCTGGCAAGATCCGTTGCTACCCGATTCGACTCAAGATGATTGTACGCTAAGATGAGACAAGACGGCGATACACAGGCGAACGGCATTCATACTACTCAGATGGTTGACATCGCATGATGAACACGAAATACAAAGATAAAACCGGCTGTCTTCAGTCTCACACAACTACTTAAGTGGGTCCTGCTGGGGCTGTCGGCATGTGTTTCCTGGCCTGGTGATTAGCTGCGCACCGGGGGTGAGGCTAAGCTCTAGGCTGAAATGGCGGGCACAGCGTTTGTCTTGGCCGCCAAGCCGCGTGGAGAAAATGCCCCATACCGACATTTGCCTGCATGGCAGCCAATCAGAGGCAGTTCTGGCCCGAATTGAAGCGGTGATGCTGTGTTATGCCCAAGTGAAGTCGGCGTGCATTTCCTTCCAAGTTGGGAGTGAATCTTGCCCCTCCCCCTCACTTCACTAACTATTATTCTCCTGCTTAGTCACGTCTAAAGATAACTGTTAGTTATGGGGATAGAAAGACAAAAGACAGCCTGGGACCACTGGCCCTACTAGGCAGACTAGTTTTAGAAAATCGCATCGTTACTACTACCTAGCAATCGCATCGTCACCACTAGCAATCGCATCGTTACCAGTGAATCTTAACACGAACACGCCAGGAAAAATGGAAACCGACACGCAGATACCTGGTATAAATTACCTTCCCTGGGGGTTTGAACCTCCCCTCCAGCACTACTGCTACCCACCAATCATCTACCCACCAGCATTTTACCCATCATCGGTCATCTCCGACTCCTTCATCCTCCAGCCCTCCAGATCCAGTCCGAGCTACACCCTGAACGCAATGCCAACCCTCGACCTCCCGCCCGAGCTGATCCTCATGGTCGCCGACCACCTCACCAAGCGCCGCGACATCAGCGCCCTATCCCGAGCCAACCGCCGCCTGTACAGCATCGTGAACCCCTACCTCTACCGGCAGAACGCGCGCCACCACAAATCGTCCGCCCTGGTCTGGGCCGCCCGGCGCGGGGTCCCCGGGACCGCACGACACAGCATCGCCGCCGGGGCCGACGTCAACATCCAAGACAAGAAGGCGCCGACCCCGCTGTGCATCGCGGCGATGCGGGGCCGCGCCGAGGTCGCGCGCCTCCTGCTGGAGGCCCGCGACATCGACGCCAACCGGCCCAACACCGACGGCAACAGCCCCCTGATCCTGGCCATCACCTACCGGCACACGAACGTGCTGCGCGTGCTGCTGGCGTCCGGCCTCGTCGACGTCAACTCCGGCCATCTCCTCACGCCGCTGCTGCACGCCGCGTTCGTGAACAACGTCAAGGCCGTGAAGCTGCTGCTGGAGCAGGACGGCATCGACGTCAACGTCGGGGATTTCTCCGGGAACACCGCCATTCGCTATGCGGCGGCGTTCGGGTTCCATCGGGTCATGAGGGTGCTGATTGAGGACGGGCGCGCGGAGGTGGATGAGAGGTGTGGCGAGAGTGGGCAGACGCCGTTGTCGCGCGCGGCGGCCACGTTGTTTGATGCGACGGTGAGACTGCTGCTGAGGACCAAGCGGGTGGATGTCAATTCCCGGGATCATCAGGGCCGCACCCCGTTGTCGTGGGCCGCGGAGACGGGCGCCGAGGCCGCGGTGCGCATGTTGCTGAAGGCCCCGGGGGTGGAGGTCGATGTGCGCGATTGCGAGGGCTGTACCCCACTGTCTTTGGCGGCGAAGAAGGGCCACGAGGCGGTCGTGAGGCGGCTGCTGGCGACGGGGAAAGTGGATGTCGATTCTGTGAATGAGAATGGCTGGAGTCCCTTGTTCCAGGCGGTGGTGCATGGGCATGAGGGGGTCAAGAACCTGCTTCTGGCGGCGGGACGGCAGGCGTGATCTTTGTTGTAGCGGGTGCTTCGGCGCTGGGGTGAAAGGGTTGCACATGCACATAGCATCGTTCACTGCATTTGTATTAGATTGTACAAGTTAATTCGGAATTTGTGATCCAGAAGTTTCTCACTTCTGCTGTATTGACTGCGAACATGAGTTTATCTCCAATGCGCGGATGCGCCCATGCCTATAAGACCGACCACTAGTAGTTTCTAGAGAAGGCAGAGACCAGAGACGCAATGGTGTGCAGTATAAGTGTATAAGTAAACTGTTCTGCTGCAATTTCTGTTTGCTTATTGAATTAGAATGCCGCGACTCTTATATAAGCAATATATAAACGATCTGTATATACTTTAAAATACTTACAGATTGCTTATAAATAGAGTGGCTTAATCTGACTGTTATATCTTAATCTTAACCTGATCATAACTGTATAGCTAGATTAAAATATAAAAAGTTTTTAACTATATAATTAAAATTAGATTAAGATATAACTACTATTTTAACTATTTATATCTACCGGTTAGAAAAATTAGATATAATGGATAGATTATTAATTATAGATTAATTAATAATATATATATTATTTTTATATATATTATATATAAAATATAATAAATTTTTAATTATAATATAATAATATTTTTTAGATTTAGTTAATCTATTCTATTTATTCTATTTATTTTTTCTAAAATATATTATATTTATAAAATATTTGTATTATTAATAAACTAATAGTTTTATACTATTTTTTATATTATTTAAAATAATAATTATAATTTTTATTAAAAACTAGATTTTTTATATTTTTTAAACCAGGTCTATAGTTTTATTTATAAAAATTAGACTTTTTATATTCTTTAAATTAGATTTATAGTTTAATCTCAAAAATTAGATTTTTTATATTTTTTAAATTAAATTTATAGTTTTATTTATAAAAACCGGACTTTTTATATTTTTTAAACCGGGTTTATAATATTATTTATAAAAATCAGATTTTATTTTTTTTAAATTAGTTTACTATAAAATAGGCGAGTAGTATTTTATTTTTATTGAAATCTACTATTATTAATACTTATAGTATAGTTTTTTTATATAATTTTAATAATATATTTATTTTATACTATTTTTATACTATTTAGAATAGTAATTATATTGATATAAAAATTATAAAAACTAGGTTTTTATTTTTATTTAAATATAAATAATATTTAAGAATTCCGGTAGATCTATTTTTTTTAATTTTAGTAATAATCTATTTTTAGAATTATTTTTAAAATTATTTATATTTTTATTCTTATTAATATAGAAGATGATAATTATTTTATTTTTTTTATTTTTTTAATATAAAAATAATTGAATCTAAATTAAAATTATTAAAAATATTCTTATATTTCTTATTAATTATAAAATAATTAGTATATATTTAAAATATAATTATTTTAATTATATTAGAATAAAAACAGCTTTAGTAATAATAATAAATATTTTGAAAATTATTAAATAAATATTTAATACTAATATTATTAGTTATAATTAAAAAAAATGTTTAATTATTTAATAGAAAATAAAAAACTAGTCTTAGTAGGATTTTGAATAAATAAAAATATTAACATATTTTATAATATTTAAAATAATATTAATATAAATTAAAATATTTTGATAAATTATATATTTTTAATATTTAAATATATTTTAAATTCTTTGAATATTTCTACTGCGGGTAAGAATTTTTAACATTTAAAAATATTATAAAAAGCTTTATCTAAATCTAATAAAAATTAAAAAATTATTAATAATATATTAAAAACTGAATTCTAATTATAATAAAAATAGAATATTTTTTTAAAAATAGTTTAATATTTTTTATATTAGTTAATATTATTATTTAGTTATATATTGTTTTAAACTTTTTAAACTTTAATATTAAATTTAGAATAATTATAATAATATAAATATAGTCTTTTATTTAATAAATATAATAATAATATTTTTAGAATTTTTAATATATATTTTATAAACTTTTAAAAATCTTTTTTTTAGAATACCCGCTTTTATACTAGTTGGTTAATTAAATGGTCTAGATAATTAAAAAGATTATTATAAATATTATAAATTTTATAAACAGTAGATCTATTATTCTTAAATAAATAAAATATAAAAAAAGAATATAAATATGTAAAAATATATTTTATTTATTTTTATTTAATTATAATAAACTAAAAATAATTAATATTATTATAATTATAGTATTAAATAAAGCTTTAAATTAGTTAATTAAATTTAAATATTTAATAAATTATAAGATAAGTTAACTTTCACCAGGTTTTATAATTAAAAAAAAATAAAAAATTAGATTAAATTTAAGTTTTTAAATAAACTAAAACTTTTTATAGTATTAAGAACTTATATTTATAAATTATATAATTTTTTAAATCTATAAATAAAAATTAGTATAATTAATGAAAAGATTTTATAAACAGCTTCTAAAATATATTTTTTTAAAATTTTTTAAAATATTAGAAAAAATCTTAAAACTATTATTATTATTTCTTTATATATATTTAATAGTATTATTTAAAATCTTAATCTAAAATTTCTATAAAAGAATATTAACTATAAATTAAATTATATAAATAAAATAAAAAATATAATACTAGTTTTAAATAATTTTTAAAAGATTAAAATTAATTAAAATATTATAAAATTAAATATTCTAGTTAAACTAAGTCCGAAGCTTAAATAAGATTATATTAAATATTAAATTATTATTATTAATATTATTAATTATTATATTTAATAATTAATAAAAAAGATTATATTTATATAGAATTAATAAAATAATTATAGCTAGGTTCTTA